TATTTGTAAAAGTCCTCGCATGAATACCTGTATTACGTGAAGTGGTGTGAAGTTTTATCGGTGGGTCATGTCAATACAATAGTGTTTTTACTTGGGTTTTTTAGATTATATGTGCAACGTTTGTTTGCTTTGCTGCCGTTTGCATTTCAGCAGAGTTTATGTTGCTTCTCATTTTGAGTAGACCTGATCACCCGCTTGGTCGTATATAATAATACTGCGTAGTTTTTGTTAACTACTGATGTGTACTATCTTGTACATTGACTTTGTTTAATAATAAGTACAACCGATAATTGCGAAGGAATGTCTTGAGCAGCCTTCCATCTACAGTGCAGCTAACGCTGTAAAGAAAATTCATTTATTGACAAATGTGTCAGCCTCTCAGGAGCTTTGTAAGACAAATTCTTAAGTGTTAGGGCCAACAATCTCCAAACAACAGCGAATCTCGTTGTAAAAAATGTCTATATATAAGCATTGGGTGACCTAAAGGTCCCATACGAAGGGAATGTAGACGGATCAATATCCAAGATTATTTACGATCATTAAGATGATCAGTGTTCAAAATTCGTCCCAGAACGATTAAAATTTTTGTTTGACGTTAGTCGGGATCACTAGACTTTTGTGAATATGAAAAATATAAATTCTTTTCCATACTTAAATTATTTCTTAACTAAAAAAAAAAAAAAAAAATTAAAAGCCTTAAGTAACATTTATTTTATAGTTAACCATTCAAGAACGTATCTGAAGGCTTTAGATTCAATGATCACTTTAATATTTTTAACAATTAAGTTATAAATAAAGAGCTGAGAAACTCTTTAAAGGTATATTCATTGCTTTTTTCGAAAACTTATAACAGAATTGACAAAATTATTTATAAATCTTCGGAAAGCTGGCGACATACGAAAATACATACTTTTCACCTTTGTCTTACTTTGCTTGCAATCGCTTGAGGTAAAGCTTTATTTATTTTATAACATTTAATTTATTGCTCTATTATGTTACAGTTGCTTTGGTCTTTGTTATATTGTTACTATTGTTTTTGTAAGGTGGCCCCATGGTTAGAGCTTCAACTTGTAATCTTAATATATCTTATTTATAATGACCATAGTTTTTTTTCGTTTTTTCTATTGGTTATGAATTTTTTTACGCGCTGTACCTATACCGCTTGTTATTCCGAGTATATTAACTTTATACGGATGTATGTAACAGCCAAAAGAACTTGGCAGAGAAGATGTACTTTATTATATCGATCGAATCAGAATCACTTTTGGAATTTACCCTCTGTCCCAAGAACCAACACAGTTTGAAATTGCTTGAAGCGACACCCTTTTCGACGTCTTATTTTGAAATAATCGTCATATGCCTTAAATAAGAAGATATTAAAGTCTGCTGCCGGCAGACTTTAAATATCCTCCTCATCCTACAAATATATCTTATTTGGAAAAGTCGTTATATAAGAAGCGCTCGAAAAAGTGAACTGACTCGAGACCAAGTCACAGTATCAAATTTCATCAAAAAAAAAAAAAAAATTCCATAAAATTGTAGTCTGCAGGTTCAACACAAAAAACAAGACGGACGGACAGGCAGACGTACCTAATCGATCCAGAAAGTGATACTGCATCTATTACTATAATGAACGATAGCTTTACGGCAAGTACTTCTGGGTGTCGCATACACTTGCACAATTTGTACCGCAAGTGGTGTAGGGTACAAATATACTGCAATTTTCACACATTCCTTCAAAGTAGGTTGAATTGAAACATTTTCCCAATCGCTGCCCGGAGAGCGATTCGTTTTGAAAACAAAAAAGACTGGAACAAAAAGCACTAAGTAATGGCGTTGATCTAAAAAAAATTTGAATCCGATAGATCAAATTTTTGAACTCCCTCGTACATAACCGTTCTTAGAAAGAGTGTGATTTTATGTGGCAGGAAGTCAAATTTTTCATCTATTGCAATGAAATTGGTTTCATAATAGCGATTTCAATACAACAATTAATTGAACAATTTTTGGACAGCGTAGGTATATTGTATGGACTTTATTTTATGTTAGGTTTCTCATGACAAGAAGCTATTTATGGCGCAAGTACGTAAGAAATAATAAGATCTTTATGAAAGACATTAATTTTTGCAGATTTGGACTGTGCCAGTTCATGCTTTGAGCTCCTTTCCATGCAAGGGTTTGATCTGAAAACTAAGCACAATGTTTGGTATTTCATCACAAAAGTAAATGAAGAATTGTATTCAGCGAAGCGGTGCAGGGTGTGTAATGATCGGCCTTACCAGACTATAATGTTTTCACTGGTGTTTTTATAAATCAATTCGGCAGTGGGGTGAATAATGCTTACAATATATTTAAGCCAAGTCAATGAATTCTATATGTATTCAGCTTGTTCATAAATATAATGTTTGTAGGGTGGGGAAGGGGAAGGGGGGGGGGGGGGGGCAATGTTCATTTTATAAAATTAAGCAAAATCAATAAAATGTCTTATGGTATTTATATAGTTTAGAATGGATTGGAAAGTTTTGCATGGCTTCTGATTTTCCACCAAGTTAAGCGTAAATTATGAAAAGATATTGAAATTTTTTTTTTAAACTGTAAACATATCAGCTGAGAGAACAATTTTTGTAAATCACTTTTAAATTATTCTCTTAAATGTTGGTCACATTCTTGTCCTTCTTACTACTCGCAAGTTATTGCCCGTTATCATGAAGGTCGTTCAGTTCTTCTTACTACTGCCTTATACGTACTGCAGAGTTTATAGAAGCATCGCGTCCATTTTCAAGTTTATTCTGTTGCTGTGGTCACACATTCATTGACATACGAAGGCAAGAGCTTGCAAATATGTTGCGCACCTAGAACTCAATATACGTTTTCTTAATTCTCTTCGCTTCAATTCGTGCCCTGCCCAGGCTTAAAATCCAGGCGGAAATTTAAGAAAGTTTGAACAAAATTTAAACGGTAGTCAACAAAGAAATAATATATGAACTATGAATTTCGATGGCTACCTTGCTAAGTTCGAAGATAGAGCGACGGTCTGCATAATTGATATATTGATTCTATATTATACGGTATGCTATATATATATCATGTTGTAATTTTATACAATGTGGCCGCACATTTTGGATAATTCTGCAAAGTAAAAAACATATTTCCACCATAGTTCGAAATATTGACTTATATCGATGTTGAGCAACAGATAACAAACTTTGCAAATTTACTTAAATTCCGGATTCAAAAGAAAATTTTCTCTTAATGAAAGTGTTAAGATCTTACGTTAAGCACTTAATACAAATGACTACAATTTCGAGACCGTAACTCTCCATCCTTTGAAGTGTCGTTATGATGTGATTGGGCTGATTTTCTTAACTTGATCTGGCAAGAGTAATAAAAGAAGACACTCTTCATTCATATGCGCTGAGGAGTCTGTAGGAATCTAAGGAGAATGTAAAACTTCGTACAAATATTGAAAATTTCGGATTTCGATCACCGGTGTCTCTCTGTCCGCTCGTCTTTCTGGTGTACCAAAATCCAGGAAGTAAAAGCTGAAACATGACTTAGGTAAAATGTAGTGTCAGTTAATTGCCACAAATCGAGTTTGGAACTTCACGTGATCAGTCTAAACCATGTCTACAAAAATTCAATGCATAAACACCGTGCACCCTGCTTAGAAATTGGTTTAAGATGGTGGTTAACCCTGTTTGCATTTTTTTAAATCGGAATGATGCAAGGCCAATCCTTTCGAAGATTTTGAGACGCGATTTGTGTAGAGCCTAACTATCTGTTCATCTCGAATAAAGACAACGAGATTGAGCTTGGCTGCCAAGAAATGCTCTTAAAGAAGGGTGCAGCAAATCAATAATTTCAATATCTGAATATGAGTAGATGATTGCCGGCAGTTTTTATTCCATATTCCATATAAAGTCTTATTTTGCTTGAGAACTCTTATAAGCAAACGCGTCCCGCAAAGAAACCAATGTGGTGCAAGTTGGGCGCAATTAAATGAATTTTTTATTTTTGAAATTCACTGATACTACAAAATCATGAACCTTTTGTCTTGTGGACTGTCATTTAAACCTATGTAGAGTATGGTGTCAATAATATTCAAGTGTTGCGGTAGTACATACACGTTTTTGTAAATATGCAAAAGCGAGATTTTCAATATTTGCTATGGCCGCAAAAGAATGATTTCTGGATACCAGGGTGGGAGATGACACTTGGATGTAAGCGTGAAAATCGTCGCGGTTGAAATCGCCCGCTTTATAGTCGGGATTGATCGCTTTGTTAAAGCGAAAAATCGTTTCTACACTTTTCTTCCATTAAGCAAGAAGTCAATCCAATCCATTCGTTATTGTCAACATTTTGTTGTTTGAGATTTTACTCATAACATAACACAAGAGATCTTTAAAATAACACACGTCGTTGACTTGTAATTAAGTACTCGAAGTATTTAATACAAATACTGTTTTAGTTTTTTTCTTTTTTATCTTAACATTGAAATGAATAAGAGAAATAGACAATTAATTATCAGATATAAGCATAATTGTTACTCTTGAACTTTATTACTGGATTTTTTTTTCTTTTGTTTGGTTTTAGATTTATTTTTAATTAAGAAAATTCATTGACTTTGACATATTACAAAAATTGTTGGTTGGCTTGTTGGTTTCAACCTGCTGCGAGCGTTAAGAGGCGTTGTTTAGCACTTTGAAGATTTGTTCGATAGTTGTGTTTTGATATCGGCCAAGCCTTTTGTGTTTATCTTTCCATTCATTATTACTGTTATTATGGTTGCGACACGTTTTAGTTGTTAACATTAAGAAGGCCATTGAAAATGAAACTTTTATTTAGGTTCAAAGTAACCAAATTGCGACAAATTTAAAATTATTGGATTCGTTGCCTCAGTGAATGGAATCGGAGAACTGTGTGTAAAGCTTTTCTCTTATATGTTAATTAATTGAAATTAAATAGTTTTTTTTGTCGTTTTTTTTTTTTTTTTGTTGCAGCTACGGTAACGGTACGGATTCTGATATTTATTCGACGATCAACAATACATCAAATGCATCGGCGACTCTTTTGTTAACAAATACAAAAACAACAACAAGCATTTCACACATAATGACAGCTGCGAAGGCAACATGCAGCAATAGCTCGTTGCCAAACAATAACAAAACATCAGCGGCAGCGGTCGCGACAACAACAACAACAACAACGGTAACAGCAAACAAGACAATTTTACATTATCCACCAACACCATTACCATGTCCGTCAATCAACAACAATATAATTGGTTTACAACATGAATCAAATAATCTCCAGAGCAATGAGAGCAACCATAAAACAAACAATATGACAGGAGCAACAATCAATAACACAACAATTACAACAATACCAACGTTGCCAATAGAAAAATTGTCAAATTCTTCATTATTATTAACAACAACGTCGTCATCGTTATCACCACTATCGATAATAACAAGTACGACAGCAGTAACAGCTGCTGCCACAATGCCAACAACATCTTTAATAGAGTCGCCAACGACAGTTACAAACAGTTCGAAGGAGTTCAAATATGATCACAATACAACGCAACAACAGAAACAACATTGTTTCACTCAAAGCAAACAACAAAGCTTTGTTAGTAACGACGACGACGATGACTCGGCAATGCCTATAATTGAACGTAAAGACTCCTATACAAGTGACTTTTACTCAATGGGTTCAACTAATGGACACTTGGAGCAGGAATATTGTGCTATGGTCGCCTCAGTTTATGGACAAGAGATGGCCAAGTTAGTGATATGTTAATAAAAAAAAAATAAAAAAAATTATTCATTAAAATTTTCCTTTACTTTTGTTTATTTTTCTTTTCGTGTCCTTTTGTTGCTTACAGCAGCGACTGTGCTTCAGTTGCCTCCGACTTGACACGGATGTACGTCAGCGATGAAGATGATAAGCATGAATATCGTGTTGCCGATCATTATCATTAAAAACTGATATTTCAACTATCAGTTCATAAATTACTTTGTCTTTTTTGCCTCAAGTAAAGGACAAAATTGATAAAAAAAAAAAAATAAAAAAATAAAAAAACCAAAAACTCAAATAAAATGTTATGCTTAAGGAAATGTTAATACCTGCAAATAAGTTAATATTAGGACAAACAATTTAACGAACAAGAGCAACAAATCTTATTGACTATGCGTTCAGTTTAATAAACACAAACAGCCTATTTACTCTCTACTCTATACATAGATATTTATACAGCTTTATATACAATTACAATAACAAAATAAAGTACATTTTATTTGATATTTCAATGTTTGAAAAACCTTTAGAATTTTTCCTTCTTCTCTTTTCGCCCCGCTTGTTTGGCATAAGGAAAAGAATGTGCATCTCTTTCTAAGCGAGCATAAACGTCTTTACTCTATATTCAATGCATAAATACATTTTTAAATTATATATATATATATATGTGTTAACACAATAATTATCAGTTCAGGAATATACAAATGCAACAAAAAAAAAAACAAAAAAAAAAGGAAACCAAATTAACAGTAATTTTTGAATAAAACAAAACAAAAAGAAGTCAAGAAGTTTACTATGATTTATGTTTTCCTCTCGAGCACAGACATCGAGCAATATCTTAGCTACAATATCAGGCCGGACAATTCGGGTCTTAGCCCACGAACGAACACTATTATAAATCTTCGTTCTTTAAACCATTTAACCGTGCGCCGTGTGCTTTTATAGCGTTTTTACTTCTTTGGTTTCGAGTTATACAAAAAAAAAAAAAAAAATCTTGAAAAGAAAAAATTTATATGTTTAACCGAGTTCTCCAAAAACTTTGCGGCAGTTCGTAGCTCATAGAAAAATTAGCATATGTGACACTGTGGTCACCGTTCTGAAATGGTAAGTACAAAATGTTGTTCTCAATATGGTCCTTCCAGTCCAAAAGATAAGATTCGTTTCTAGCTATGTATCTGGGAAGCACATTATGCTGCAATAACAGACATTCCGGACAGACAGGCATAATAATAATTCGAAATAATTTCCTGAACCAATTGTTGCAGTAAAAGTTAGAAGGACTTGAGCAAGACTTGTTTGTAACGTGGATGTTGCGTGCATACGGAAAAACATAGTAAGCCTTGGCAGCAAATTTTCCAAGTTTGGTGACCGACATGTAAGTCCAGAAGCATTAAAAATGCTTTTTTTTTATAGTCTACGACTAATCGCATGGACTGCAATCCAATGTTAAATTCGGACACTTTGAAAGGTAAGATAGCGATTAGCTCAATCGCTCCGCATATACACAACTGAATTTATAACGAACTGTTTGAGGTGATGGAGAAAAGGACCTTTTCCGAAATGTTCCTCCCAGTAAAACTCTACACTACCGTTTATCGGTTAATAATTGCATTAGAGGTCGCAATTTCAAGTTTCTTTTGTTTTTCGTTTGTGGAGTGAAAAAAAATTTATTTAAATACTTTGTTAACTATGTTTTCTACTTTCAGTTGACATATTGGCTTTAGTTATCCTCTTAAGGTTTAAAGTTTTGTTATGTGTTTATGTGCTATTGTTTTTTATTTCAAAATGTGTTACACATTTATGGGGACAGATTTTTGGAAATTTGCTATAACCAACGTATCGTTTTTTTCTTATTACATAAAAGGTATGGACAAAACACTCTATGTGCTTATTATGCGAAACAAGTTGCTCGGACAATAGTTGTGAATTTATTTTACGACCAATTTAGTTTGGGTTACAATTACTTGACACTGTAATACAAATAAAAAAAAAAAAAAACAAACCAAAATTGACCGAAGCATAAGAGAGATAAAGAGAGAATATGCCTAAGAGAATGTAATATAAACAGCAATTGATTTTTATAACAATAACAATATTTGTTACTACAATCGATTGTTAATACCGTTCTTTGCTTTTTTTTTTTTTTAGATACTTTTTATTGTTCGAAATATTTTTTTTTCTAGCTTTGATTTCAATAACGCTTTTGTAGGTTGGAAAGAAGCGGTTGTAATTTCATAAATAGATAGATGGCTTTAGAATCACGCGACTTTCTTTCATACTCGTTCAACGAAGACGTTCCGCACGCGCTATGGAACATACATTGTGATATGTATTGTCAAAAGTAACTGCACTTTTGAAAATGAGCCAAAACATTCTGCAATTTTCGCTATATTTATCAACATAACTTAAATAAAAGCTGTAATGTCTCGCAGCCTTATGAAGAAGTTCATGGGTCCGTAGTTAATGATGAGCAGACTCTATCAAAACCAAAGGCTCCTCTTCGCTGTTGAGCCCTCTATATTAGAGATGCATGGCGCTGCGATGATTTAACTCTTGGTTGATGAATATCTTCAAGAAATAGAGGAGCACCGGCATATTCATCTTATCCATCCATCATTACGCATATGAACGTTAACAAAAAAAACGGTCCAGAACAACCCACTTATTATCGCCTAGCCAAGTAGTTCAGAAGCACGACTATCTGATCGGCAAATCCAAGATCAATCCTGAGTCCGTGTAATCATACTCCACTGATGTGCGACGGTGGCTACAGTGACTGCACTCTCGGTAAAGCCATAATAATTACCGATAAGGCGCATATTTTCCAAGCCCTAAAAGCTCGATACAAATATGCATTAGGGCATCCAGAAAGTTGGGACCGGCTTGGTTTTCATGCCTGCGATTAATGATAAAATTGTTGGTATGTGTCATGCCTACTTTTATTGAGTGGTTTTTGAAACTGCCATACCTACTAGTTTTTGATATAATTTATTGTTGCTGGAATTTTCATGAAATTTTGCAAATTTTTTTTTAAGACCGAACTCTGTGCGGAAATTAAGTTTGCCCATTTTTTGACACATTACCCAAATAATGGCGTATTTTAAACAGTAGCTTGAGAAACAGGGTATGGTATTGAAGCATCGATTGTGTTCGTTCATAAAGTTTTGATTTGTAATTCTCTGCATCGCTTGTTGTAAATATTTGTACCTGCGCGCATAGATATGAAACTCACGGTAGAAGTACAATATTGTCTGTTCGTCCCTGTATCCCTTTGACGTCTGCCCAGCATTAATTGTATTCAATCTAAAAATCGTAATTTTCATGATTTTTCGCCCAAGGATGAATGCGATAGAAATGGGTTAGATGGGACTATTTTTACGACAGCTGCCGATATAAGAGCTTATTTATCATAAGTTACTAAATGAGAAAGACTTCCCCTATATAACGTTTCTTGACAATGATAACTCAGAAATGATGGGTACACATTTTGATCTCCTTCTGCACAGAACCTAAGAAGAAGAAAGCTTTTATCAAACATATTTCATTTTTAACATCTTATGGCGAGAATTGATAAAACTATTTTTCAGTCGCAACTTTGCGTAAGGATTCACAAGTGGAAAGTAACCCTTTCAAGATTGTGGAAAAGATAGTTAACGAATTGTATCTTCGATCTTGCTAGATTACTACATCTTAGATATCTTCATATAAGTATTACATTTTTTATGTTTATTGCGATTTCTTCATTGCATGTATATTTTCTTTTTCAACAACAAAATGTGTTTTGATGTTGATGGAATAGGTTTTACAAATTGTTTGCTTTATTAATTTAATAAACACACACTTACACACGCTATACAATTTATAGTTTAATAAATGTTTCTATATTTCAACATGTTGAAGCCCGTTAGCGTTAGACTAGTGCGTCGAAACAATTAGAATAAACGCAACAAGAACAACAATCAATTTAGTAAACTAGACGTTCCGTAACGTATTCCGTGTCATTTTTCAAAACCAAGTTTGGAAAGTTATTGAAACGTTTGGATTTTTGAACATTATCAGCACGACAACAAAACATTATGCCCATGTTTGCGTATTGGAAGGTCGAGCGTGCCTTCGCCAACCAATCAACTTCGTGACAAATATCCTCGCAAAATACGACGTCGTCCTTTTTGTAGAACTGAAATAGAAAGATAAAGTGCATTTGTTCCGAAAATGAAGTCAGTAAGAGAATGACATTCGCCCTGACGCGAATTTCTGATATCTATCATCTCAGGTACCCTTTCTAATTCGTAAGAACTTTTATCGAGAATAATTGCGTCACAATACCGATATGCATTATATTGATTGATGAGTAAACACAATAGTAAACTGAATAGTAATTTGGAATTGCTTTCAAGCTAGTATTTGCTGTATGTAAGGGTAACTATTGATAATTGCTTTTGAAAACGAAATTTTTGAATACCAATTTTTCCAGCTTATTATATCGAATTTTAAATGTCGGCCTAGGGCTCACACTGAGAAATATTTTCGCGACTTTGCAAATTATTAATAACTGATCAATTGATCCAATTTGTAAGTTTAAGCATTATCGGACGTATATGTACTATATGTACCGCTTTAAGCAGGACTACCGCACATTGTAAATTCCCAGATGATCGATATTTACGTATGCTTTATTATTAACCTCATAAAACGGTGAGTTGAACGCTATGATCACAACCTCCTTGCTTGTGTTCTGTAGAGGATGCAAATAATTCCATACATATGCGGGTATATGGCGTTCGTAATAATCCAATAGAGCTTTCATTTCGGTGGTATTGTCGCAATCATTGCTAAATGGCACTTCAAGTTTACCTTCGACACCGCTAATAACATTGTAAGCAACTTTGGTTGTATGCTTCTCTAAAGCATTTTGATATTTCTTCCAGTTACCTAAACGAAGATTTGGCCACCATGTTATATTCAATAAAGAACTAAATTCGTCTAGTGTAGTTTTTAATTTATCATTTTCGATGAGGGGAGCATAATGAAAGTTGCCAAAGGTGAACCACTCTTGAAATTGTTTAACCTCAAAACGAAGAGGCGTTAATCTAAGCGCAAGTAAACAAATATAATTTTTCTTGTTTAGATTAATTGAAAAATAAATTTATATTCTGTTCGGTAAGAGCACTCAACTTACCCTTCTTCTTCTATAGACTGAAAATTTTTAATTTCCTTCCCAAAAGAATAATTTCTAAGGTCAAATTTTGTCTATAACAGAATGCACTCATAATTAACATCTTAAGCTTAAGATTGGAGAAATGCGAATGAAAGAAAAAATACTTTACTTTAATCATATTGAACTCGTCGGGCTGTATATTGTATGCGGCTGAACTTAATACAAATCTTTCAGTATCGTAGCACAGTCCAGCAATATGCGTTGGCGATTTATTGACGTTTTTCTTCGCTATTATATACGAAGCGGCGTATTCTGGGCACCAGCGAAATGCTCCCGAACTTTCGTACAAATTCCATGCGACTTTTTTGCATTCAAAACCTGAATTGTGATTATTATAATATTGTTTACCATTTTCATCTCGCCAGGAGCTACCGTCGCATCTAAGTTTCATACTGACACGGTCAATCAGCCTTGAGGAACGTCGTAGAAATGCGAGTAGGCAACCATACACACACGTTAAAACTTATAATTTTTTTAAGTAACATAGTAAAACTTACGCTTGAAATCCATTGACACAATGAAGAGTAATTACTTCATCTTCGTCAGCGTGTATGTAATTTTCCGACTTTAGCGGCTTATAGGGTTTTAAAATTGAACGACTACCGAATGATCTCTCCAATAACGGTCGAACCGAAGGATCACTGGGGAGACTCATTGAACAATACCCATTTTCCGCTCGTACACCGCAAAGCCCAACAAAGAGCAAAATAAACAATTGATATCGACGTGAAGGCATAGCGACTCAATTTAATTGTAAACCTCCAATGACAAAATATTTCGGCTGACTACTTAAGAATTGCTTCGAAGTTTTCATTATAAGCACTTTTGAAATTCTCTCGACATTTCATTATCGTTAAACAAAAGGCAAGTATCATCACAAAAATTGCTTGCTAATATATTTTTTATACCCATTGTAGGAAATGTGCTAAATATGTTAAACATTTTGTCGGAGATCACAAAAAATGTTTACATTTCTGATCAAATACAAAAATGTAATTGATTTGTTTACGTTTGTCTATCTGTTGCAACAGTAGAAAAATTAATCGATTTAAGAAATTGACTGACTGCTCTCTATCAATAAACGATACATAAACCTAAGTAAGTAGATACATGTGAATGTGAGTTTGTGCAATCGTTCGTAAGCCCTTGTTATCTAATTTTCAGCCATAGGTATGATTTCAAGTGTCATAAGTTAATGGCATTTGCACAAATTGTTGACGCATGTATAAAAATCGTTTTGAAATCAAATATTACTCGTATATAGAACATACTTTGAGATTCAATTTCTTTACGATTTCTCTTTTGCTTGATAGGATGTGCGCTATTGTTTTCTTCTTTGTAATAAGATACTTTCGCCGCATCAAATACCGTTGTCCCTATATGAAAAATGAACTCGCTCTGTAGACTTTTTTATGTCAACAGAAGTTCAGTTCAAAGTAACCTGCTTGTGTCGCATTGTGCCTTTCGATTATGAAAATGAACTAGTGGCGCTTAAAAAAAAAACGATTTATGGCTTACTCTTATCTCTTACCCGCAATTGAAGTCACAGTTTGTCGACATTGGAAGCAAGATGGGTATATCCGATAAGCTAACCGAGAATTGAATGTTTGCATTAGGTTTTTTTTTTGTAGTTTCAAGTTTGCGTTAGCTGCCCTGCCTGCCGCATATATTCAATACATATCCCAAGAATAGCTTCGGTGTCGTTATTTTCTAACAAGTGCTACAATCACTTTTTCTTTTAATGTTTGCCTAATAATTTCGTCCATTCAAGAAAAAAAATGATTTTCTTAGGGCGCTACAATTAGGGTATATTTTCTGCATGGGCGTTGTGAAAACTGGGGTTAGGATGAAAACATTTTTTAAATTCTCTCTAACGAGTTCCAATTTTTAATATTTTATAACGAGAATCGGCGAGTAATTATGTACGATCTTTAATGTAAATAACTAACCGGGGAAGTTCGCTTTCCTAATTAATCTATACGATAGGGCTCAAGTAATGTTGGCAATCAAAGCTGTAATGGCATAAATAGTAATAATCGTTAAATCGTCGAATTTTCTTATAGGTGGTCTTTGGAAGAGTTAAAAACAAAGTCAATTGCAAAGGTTGTATTAATTACGAGTTGTTAAGTGCCTGGTCGCTACTACGAGATACATATATATACTGTGCATAGACATATATTTTTTTGCGCTTTTTCACATCATACTGATATGACAACATAGTCTTTTTTAATTTTTCAATCCCGATTGATAGGTCTTGATCTTGATCTGTTAACAAATAAATGCCCGCTACACCCAGCCCAAATACACTGCATATTTTACTTGAATGAAAGGTTCTACATATACGAACACCTTACGAAAGGCTTTAACAAGAATTTTATCCTGTATGCATTATCAATAGACACAGATAGAATAATTAAAAAGTAAGAAAATTATATTCGACCGCGACCTAGTCTCTTATACTCTGTACTGGTACTGTTTTTGAAAAGTAATAAAATATCGATTTTTTGCTCATCATTCCTGAATTACAACAGACATGTCTACAAAAATTACAACTTGTATTCTATGGGCGATGCTGTCGGTGCTGTCGAGGTTTGAGTGTTTTTTCCAATACCGTTAAAAGGCACGGAAGAAACCTTCAAAAACAACATGAAGTGTATAAATTCTTAGCCAGTTTAAATTCAGAATGCATCTAAACATGTCCGTCTATCGGTCTGTCCATCTGTCCGTCTGCCTAACAGTGTAGCGTCTAATGTAAACATTCTCCCATTCGCAAAAATGAAGATATCGCCAACAAATTTGAAAGTGACACAACGCCCAAGTGTCTATACGACAAAAACTGTTAGTTTGAAAATAAGAAAAATCAGTCTCACCCACTCCATATAACAGAGCCTCCATGTATAGAGAAAATTTAATTCTTTTAGTTTTTTTGCCTTTTTAGGATAACTGATTGAGATGAAACATTCGTTCTGAACCGAATATAATTCTCTTCACTTCCATTCTTTTGATTTGTTTGCCCGTTCTTCGTTCTTAAGGTGTGCATGTATATAGTTTCGATTTAATTTTGTAACTCAAACGGGAAAATGGTCCGTTTTTGTTCACGATAGTCAAGAAACTGTAAGCATTTCTTGTTAATTGCAGTATATGTCCATTTGAAATTTGCAACAAATGATGTTTGCAGTTGTGTACAGTAATAAATCCGCGTATATATTTATCAAAGGTTTTAAATATCAATAATTCATGGAAATGCGAGCACAGCTTTGTTATCCATTATCGTTCAGGAATTGCTTTGATAATCTTTTTCTTTTGTATACAATAAGTGCACTAAGTGTGTCCGAGATATAAAATGCTTAAATTCATAAATATTTTAATTAACTTTTATTTCTACTATTCTATAATTTTGAGTGAATGCATCATAAAGTTACCACAAAATATAGAGAATTTCCCAAAATGGGAGATACATATTGGACAGTATTGGATTAAAATACCACATCTAAGTGATGAGATGGTGGTGCAAAATGGAGAGAAAATTCAAGGTTACTGTAACACGTTCTTTAGGTAAGACTTGAAAACTTTCGATTGAACTTTCATGTTCAATTTTAAGACACAAACATTAAAAACAAATTAAATCTTGTTTTAATTCAAGAGAGTGTAAGCGATCATTAGGTAAAATTATTTCTGAATAAAACATGACAACAGAACGTTGCTCCTGATCAACGGAATAACTTTTATTGAATTTGTTTCGCTTTTGTTTTTCGTTTATGTAGAAATTTTACTATAGATAAAGACGATTTCAATTGCACCGGCATTGATGATGACAAGTGCGTTTACTTTTCATATCTTAGGGATAGAAGCAAAGAAGTATCTGGTAAGAAGACTTTGAATATGCGTTGTGTTAATGATACTCTGCGTTACGGAGAAATTAGTATAACGAAAGGACAAACGCTTAGTTGTGTCGACGCTGAATGGACTGTAAGCTGGGGCAAGCCGAATGTAGGGCGAAGAGAAATAATCTGGTGCGCAGAAAACCATCGCATTTTAATTCTAATCACTAAGAATTTCGATAAAAGTCCAGTCCTGGCCTATATATGTTTCGATATAAATAACTTGTCGCCGCAGGCAGTGCATTTTAGAACAAATTATCAAGTATTTAAACTATGGAATATCTGGAAAGTACGCAACTTTATTTAATTATCTATACAGATACTGAATTTTCGCTCGCTCTCTCTCTCGCTCTCCGTCTCTGTAACTCTCTCTCTTTCTTTCTTTTCATCTGCCTCTATGTGTGCGTGTGTGGCTGTCTCTCGCTGACTCTTCCTTTAGCTGAAGCCTCCTACTATTGAAGACCTCGAGCTGGCCGACGGTTTTGGCCCGGAAATTGAGTCCTTAAATTCTGCTCAGCTACATGGCAGGTCTGTACAATGCACACATGTCACTTCAATGCGTGAGCTAACCCGAACTATTTGTTTTTTCAATAATTTTAGTAATGAAATCTTGGAATTGCAATTGAATGAATTAAGTGAAAATAATTCTTGGGTCAGTATGGCCAATTATGAATATGGATCTCTTGTACAAAGCAGCCCATATTTGTCTTATTTTCAACACTATGGCCAGTTAATAGATGTTATTTGGTGGCATAATCTACGAGTTTTTAATTGGCGCCGTTTCTTGAATGCTTTGCAAATGCATTTCGAAGAATTGAACAACTATAGGATCTATTTAGGGACTTTAGGCGTAATTCGAGTGCCTATATGGACTCTGCATTCAAAAATCACTTGGCTGGAAATTCAGGTATAGTAAAGCCCTTGCATTTAGTAGGACGAAGAGACTACTGCAACAATAACGTTTTAGTCGAGCAACTATCACCACACTATACCGGCGTATATATGGCTGTATATGGAACCACTTAATAATATGACAAATATGAATTTATATATATTTGGCTATAATTCGCCGTATTTTTCCGTAAGCAAAAAAAAAGTATTGTTTACAAATTTAAAAGATTTTTTTATGATTATTATTATTTTTTTTTTGTAGATATTTAATTCAAATGACGTAATTTTTTGCCCTAACATTTGTAGCGAAGTGCCTTGGCTCAGGCAGGCTCAATTAACGTTTCATTTTGCCAATGCTGGCATAATATTCTGCTGCACAAACCAATCGATTAAAGATGAACGTTACGTTCGCGCCTTACCTAAGAGCAATCCAGCCTATAAATTAAATATCTTCACAACAACATCATCTTCCACCAACGACGATCTAAATGATGACTATCATTAAGAAAACCGCATTGTGTGCTCTAAAGTTGGCAAAAATTTAGTGAATATTTTTTATAATTTATAAGAAACGAAAAACGAAAAAGCAAACAGATCATCAATTAGGAATATTTTACATTAAAAAAATTATACAATAAATGTATAGAAATAAACAATAGGGGGAGATGACAATAGAGCAAGAAAGGGAGAAAACCCTTTCACCCACACCACCGGCTTATATGTACTGCGGTCAACAAAGTCTTCAAACCAATATTTCAAATATTTTCCGAAGAATCAGACTAATTTTTTTGAATAATCGTCTTAATATGGATCTCGAATAGGAAACCTCCGAGAGCAGAAAACAAAGAATAAATTACATAAAACAATTAAATTATACCACTTGTTGTTGTTAAACTACACGACCTGCGATACAAGGATACATTGCGTGCGAATGTAAGCAAAATGTATTTGAGACTTTCATTATATCGACCATTTTACTCCCAGCATACCTTTCTAAGTCAATTTAAGCTTGTCTCTCCATCTGTTCGTCTTGTTTTCTTTCACCACGAACGCTATTGCAAATGGTTTTGGGTTTGATTGCTTGTTTTTTCCGACTACTCCACATAACACACATTTTGGCATATTTTTACATGAATACTTGCAGAGTAGTGTAAGGTATTTAATGAGTGAGCGTGACCAATGATATTACTTCTTCTTATTTTTATTTTAATGAATTTAAAGATGGAAAATAGGTTCTTTAAAAATAATTAAATTTTTACGCAAAAAAAAATATTCTTCGTACTCGTTTTATTAGTTATGATGAACAGCAAACACGTGCGAATGGCTTACAGCTGTACGTACAAAATCAAAATATAAACGATGTGAGAGCAGTTTAATTTGCATACCTTCCTCACAGCCGAACCTCACGATGACCGCTGACACAACGCTAGAAAAATGTGTGTGTGTATAAGTCCACACTACAAAACTTCGAACTTCAAAGCGAACTATAGTACACAAAGCGCCACTTTAATACGATTGGAGGCAGTAAGAGACGGACGCACGTGTTATTGCTGAGCTAGCTGAGATAGCTAAAAGAAATACATGTGCCTTATCCATATACGAACAAACGGACAGACGAAACCTGCTTACCGAACCTGCTTACGTGAACAGTGTGAGATAACGCCTATAAGCTAATGGCGCACAGCACCTGGAATACCATAACGGTTTAAAGTGCATGGCCACTATGGGATATATTTGCGGTCTATCAACATCTCCTTACTTATAGCTCCCGTATTTTTCGGTTACCGCAACTGCCAAATTGTCATACCAAAAGGCCCAGGGGGTCGCACCCAGCAATCAATTTTCACCTGCTGCTCGTACGTAGGTTTTTTGGACATTCCCAAGGCTGTGCCCTTCGTATACGATTTTCTATTAGCCAACCCAAATTATTCCTTCAAAAAATACGTACAATTGAGGTGGCCTGGTCCACGTTATGGGCTACTAATATTTTTCCGTACTATCTGGTTCTCCATAATAGTGTGCCCTTGAGAAGAGAAGAGCACAGATTTTTCCAAAAAAATTTATAATATTTCAGCGGTAGGTAATGCAATGATAACTTTACGACGGCATTGAACATTAAAAAATTTATCTTTCTAAACTTTTGGACATAAAAAACTTAAACGTTAATAAAAAGAACAGCAGTTGAACTTCGTGGCATTGAGTTTCATTTCAATAAGCTTGTGACTTACATGGTTTTTTTTGTGCGATGTATTTTATATAACCGTAAGTTGGAGCTGGAAGCTATGGAAAGTTACGAAACTGCCCACAATCAATGAAATAATTCCCAGTGCAAACGCGCTCTAGCAAAAGTTGTGATAAGGAGCTGAAACTTGGCATATATTATTATCTGTTTCCCAGAGATCAAGATTCAAAACAGATCTCATGTTTTGCGACTACGTCAATAAAATCCTGTGACTTCCAGTCGTTAACTGATACCTGGTCTACTTATAAACATTATCACGATAAGCACCAACATTAACAGACGACAAATAAGAAAGACTAGATTAGAAGTAGTTACAAAGATATCGTAGGTTTGCCACGTAAACAACGAATAACGGTCAACCAACTGACACGCCCATGTATTTTACAGAATACTTTGCAAGTTTTATCTTTTTATACAAGTTAGTAGGTATCAAAGGCTTTCTTCTTCATTTTCTTTTTGCTATAAGGAACTTTAAAGCTCTATTTGTTCATTTTCTTACCTGTTTCGAAAGTTAAGTGGTTTTGGAACACTTCAAGACGTTGTTTGTGACACGCTCAGAATTAGCAAAATGAAATTTTTACACAAATGTAACTCATTCCAAAGCAGAAAGACGCGTCCGATTTGTATTCAGTGAATGCATGTCAGTGTTTATTATCACACTTTTAATTTTACTAACATCTCATAAAAGGAAGAACGTATTCAAAAACTCGCAGCTACTGCGTAGGGAAGGTGAGACGATAGTAAACAGATACAAGACAATGGGAGTCAAAAGATCAATATTTTAGCTATAGATTTCAATTATTGTTTGCTTATATAAGAAAAATACCAAACTAGTCAACTGCGTGTTATACAAGCGCATTGACATATATATTATTATTTTTTTTTGCTTCTTTTTTAGGAAAGATAGTAATACAAATGTATTTTGCAACGTCTTAAAGGAATAGGAATCAAATCAAAGTGAGAGACATTCCTTAAACTTAAAGCTGGTGTCGATACAATTTCGCAGATGACTTTCATATTGACCGCGACCACTCAGCGAGAAAAGTCAAAAAAATCGAAAAATATTCGTATTCACATTATATATATGATATCATATGCCGGCAATTAATAAGTAGTAGTTTCAAGTGATGACTCTTTACGATGCGCTTTAGAAATTGCTTCCTATTTAGTTGTACACTTTAACTGGTGCACTTTGTGTTTATTTTACGCTGAAGACATTCAATACGCCGTACTCTGTGTATTGCGCATTTCTTTAGCTTGTAAACGTTTTTAAGCGAAATGTATACGAAGCGTTTAAGAAGAAATTATAAAATTCGATTTTTGATATCAATAATTATCCGAAATGTTTACACATAACGCCACCCCTCTTCTAAGATGGTAACAGTTTACACTTAGGAAAAAGTATTTAAAAAATGTTTTTTTTACGGATTTAAAAGTTCATTGATTTGTCGTTGATTTGTGATCTGAAAATATGAAATAGCGGTAAACTGATGAATATTTCTAAAGATGTTTATAAAAATCTTATGCACCGCTTAGTATATAGCAGGAGATAAAATATTTTGATTCGCATATATGTAATGATATATTTCTCATTTGCTTTATATGGCCTTAATTGACTTATGGACATTTTACTTTCCATGAAACGGAATCGCACGCCGCGGTTCTTGTTCGCCGTGACTGATATATAATCGGTTTAATCGATAGGTGCGTTTCGTTATCTCTGCTAATCAAGATGGGCGGACATAAACTTTATATTACAAAAATTTACAATAGATGGCGTCTCTATTCTTTACGCCCAATTTTCAGTACAACTGGAGAACGTCTTGGCGCTTATATGCCAAACAACTTAATCGCTTCAAAAGCGGGTAATCATGATTTGACAATATTAGTAAATACATTTTTTAATAATAAATTTTTTCCAGTGTACTTAGTTCACATCCAAGCGTTCACTTTAAGAAGGCAAGGTTAACGGGTAAGAGACGTGCGATCATTATGGTATCGAATTCGCTTATGGGTTTTCAATCGGCTATGTCTGCTCGTTAGTTACGTAGAAACATCTAAATCAAGCCTCATTCGCTTAAGTTCTTCAAAATTTTTTTAACGTTTTGTATAATATATTTAATTATAGAAGAGAATTGATTTAGTTTGGTATAGAACGTCCTCGAATAAGGAATTGTTAGCAGAACAAAAGAAAAAAAGAAAAAAATGTTAAAATTTATCATATTTTATGCGCTTTGTTATCTCGTGGCGACCGTTTGCTGTGATTGTTACCTAGAAATTCCCGAAAACAAGGACAATAAGCCTCTCTGGGAGAAGAAAATTGGCAACAGTTGGTTTAAAATTCCGTACATCACAAGTCGTTTTAAAATGCAAAATGATGAAATGATCAAAGGATATTGCGCCACACGATTTAAGTACGAATAATAAAATGTTTAAATAAAAAATATATTCTAAATTAACTAAGAAAATTTTATTAAACTATATACATATCTATCTATCTATATACATATAAATACAGAACCATTAGTTATATTGTCGAAGTCGAGAGGCATTGCGAATATTATGACTACAGCTGCAAAAGTTTTCCAAAACGGAACGCAACTAAGTACCTGACCGTTGAGGATAGAAATATGACAATTCAATGTGTTGCTGGTTCATTAAAATTCGGGCTCAATGTATTAGAAAATACTACTGTAAGCTGCAACGAGCTTGAATGGATAATTAACGTGAAACCAGCCAATTCTCAAAGCCAAGTATGGTGCAAAGAATATTATCAAATATATGAGTTGGCGACAAAAAATCTTGAACCGAATCGTACTTTGGCTAATGTTTGTTATGATTTGAAAGAGTTTTCCCTACAATCGATAAAGTATAAAACAATTAATCGGAGAAGCGAAGAATGGAAAGTGAATAGAGTGAGTAAGAAAATTAAGTGGTTTTTGTAAAAGAAAGAGACAAAGCACAAATGCACAAGAAATGCGAGGCCAACCATAGAATACTTTGTACTTCGCTTAAACCTTAAACGTGAGAGTTGCATAAGTCGGTGGGAGGATATGTGTTAGCAGATTGCATTGCTTTGTTTAAATTGCTTTTTACTGGCACAAATTAATTACAGCTGGGACTTATTTTCTCTTTCCAGTTGTTGCCCAATATTGCCTATAATCCGGACTCAGAAAATACACCGTTTGGCGAAGTGAAATTCCTAATAACAACTTTACTTCATACTGGGTAAAAGATATTAATTTGTTCGCTAATTTTGGTAGACTTTGCTTTTGGAATTGTTGAACCTATTGGGCTTATTTAAACACTATTTATTCTTTGTCTTCTTCTTGTTGTCAGAAATGATTCTTTACGAAACCATCTTAATGCCTTAAGTGTGGAAAATCCTTGGTTAAGATTGGCGAACTATGAATACGGCAGTATCGTTCAAACCGGATTATATTTGAATTACTTTAAACACTATCATCATTTATTGGATATCTTATGGTGGCATAATTTACGCGTAGCCAACTGGGCTCGATTCCTCAACGCTTTGGAACAGCATACAGCTAATAACAGTTACGAAGTATGCCTTGGTATTTTGGGTGTGGTGCAAGTACCGCTCTGGCCCGATCAAAGAGAATTTGAGAGTTTGGAGGTGGAGGTAAATACAATACAGATAGTACGCCATCTTTGAATTCAATCAAGAAATCATTCGCTTATTGGGTTTTAGAATGGCTTTGTAAATAGTACAGTGCCTCAGTATATATGGGCCTATTTGGAAACAACTACTCCGGATTCGAAGAAACTGAATGTTTATGTGTTCGGTTACAATTCACCCTATGCTGAGGTATACAAATATATGTTTTTTTTTTTTATAAAACTTGCAATTTCTTGAATTATTTCCTTTTGTCTGTATTCATATATCAAGTTTTTTAACGCGAACGATGTGAAATTTTGCCGAGATGTCTGCAACGAAATTGATTGGCTAAGAAGTGTTCGTTCTTCATTCGGTTTTGTTAATTTTGGGCTTATATTCTGTTGCACACCTGATGCAGTTAGGAAGTCAGTTTACGGAGAAAGTTTACCACGTACTTTGGCATACAGTGACCCAGTAGGGAGCCCAGATAAAAAAGAATATGTTGGATCAGAAAAGGACGAAAAAGACAAAGAAAGGGAAGAGAGACAAAGAGAAAGAGAAGAGAAGGAAAAAGAAAGAGAAAGAGAAGAGAAAGAAAGAGATAGGCAAAGGGAAAGAGAAGAGAAAGAAAAGGATAAGAAAGAAAAAGAAGATAAAGAAAAGGAAAAAGAAAGGGAAAAGGAAAAGGAGAAAGAAAGAGGGAGGGAGCTAGTGATGCAAAAAGACAAAGCAAAGGAAACAGAAAAACAATATGATACGGAAGAAGGAAATGAATCAGCAGAAAGGCAAACAGCGGATGAAGAAGAATTCGCAAAGCAAGATAAACGAGAAGAGTTGGATGCTGATGACTTTGACGAAGAAGGTTCTGGGGATTGAAATCATCTAATTATAGCTGCAAATGGGAAAAACGTTCTTATTCTACAATGTTCATCATTTATCTGCGAATTGCTTCTTATCTTTGATGCCATTCTATAAACGAAAATAAATATAAAAAACAAAGTTAACTGTTATTATTGTTTTCACTGAAAAATAAAATATTTCCTCTGATATTTAAACATAACATGAGCTCAGATTACAGCAATTTCAGCATCTTATGCTATTAATGGATTCATCGAGAAATCTTATGGCAAAAGGGGTTTACCTAAAAGCAGTTTATGCTATAAAAACCAGCTCGTAACGATATAAATGGATTGATCTGTTTATTTATGCGCGTAATTATAAACAAGCTTATGAAACATTTCTGAACCTAAGCTAATTCTGGGCTAATATAAGGTTAAAAGCATTTTACATTGCTCCAAGCACCTAAATTAGTTTCGAGGCACCTCTGCACTTTCTCTGTTGTCAAGAAAATTTGCTCAATTCTTTACTAATTGTCGTGCTCTTCACACATGCATCAAAGTAATACGGATTCTCAGTAACTGCAAATTGTAAGAGAATTCACCTGATGATATCCCCGCAAATCGATTAGGTCCCGTGTTTACGCTTTTAAGCAAAATACTTGAAAATGAAATCCATTAAAATTTCCCGATTTCAAGATCTCCATGAATTAATACCATGAAGACAACATCAGGATAGTCTCTAACACAGAAAACCAAAAGAATTGCCGAGCTCCTTGAACACTCCTCAATCGTCCGTCAGTCATCTTCATTGGCGGCATAGTTTTTTAAGATCAAGCTAATTGTGCGAATTCGCCAAGAAAGAATAATCAAACGGAGCGAAGTGAGTTGACGAAACGAGCGCGTGAGGGCGAAATTTGAACTACAGCTTTTTGATTCCGGCTATCGGGACAATGGACTTGGGAATTATTGTATTGTCTCTATGAGATAACACCTTTGAACAGATTTGAGCACATCTCGTCGCCCACGCGTCTAATGTCTGCTCTCGTATTTTGTATTTAGAGACTACAAACCTTTTTATTTCGATGGAAAAGTCCTATTGAAAATGGATTGAATTGGACCATTTTGTCATATGTTTGGAAAATTTGTAGTTTTCAAGGAGTGTGATTTGAAATCATTGTTGAACAAGCTCTCGTAAGAATGATCTTACACAACAAATTGAGCTTCATGTGGAACTAACAAGTCAACAACAGGTGGATTCGCTGCGTTATAAATCTAATATTTTTCCCTTTATCTCAAATGCATGTTTTACTCATTTGAAGTCTTCATTTTTAAATTATTTATACTTATTACACCGCAGCTGATAGTAAAATAAATAAATTGAAATGTTATTGTTATTATTATTATGATTATCATTATTATTAATTTTCCCGGAGAATAAATTTTAAGACTAACATCTTAGAGCACTAGCATCTACCACACTTGAGATTTGAACCCGCGGCCATTGATTTGCTAGTCGAGACTCTTTGCCTACTCGATGACTTAGGCGGATAAAGAAAATCACGCAGAAAATCGTGCGCCATCATAAGAACTGCATCGCACATGGATTTTAGGTTTTGAAAACAAGTTGACTAACTAATTTTATTAATTTGAAGCACATAATGTATATTACTAAGTTTATTGCATTTAGAATATGAAGAAACATTGATGAAGAAACATTTTCATCTCTCACTCAAATATTATTACGAGCAGATGGGAGGAATGAGCAGCAAATAAAACTAAATAATAGTAAATGAACGAATGAATAAATTATAAATAAATCATATTCAAACATATTCGGGGAAATCACCAAATTCCTTTTACAACGCCATACGATCGTACGATATCTTAGGTCAGAGAGCCGCGAAGCACTGTTCATTTGCATCTGTTTATGCTCTACTTATGCACACTTATAATAACAATTTGCGTGAGAATGTTTTCTTTCTCCTTAGAAAAAATTTTAGTCCATTACTCCGACTAGACGTTCAACTATATAAATACACGCGTGTGGTTTGATCACAAATGATATCGCAAAGTCATATGAAGAAGAAAATCATATTGATAAGCACGATGAGTGAAAGCGAATTTTAAAACTTCTGATCTTATGTTTTATGTCGTACAAAATGTTCCGAAGTGTAACGAATTCCACGTCAGATCCAATCTTTGCATTAAAGTTTTTGAAATTAATTTAATATATATTTTTGCATTTTATAAGAGTGAAATTCATAGAACTATATAACCTCATCTACTACATAAGTAAATTTTTCAATAGTATGTAACGAAGGGAGGTGGGGCGGGGCTCTTTCTTTTACGAGATTTAATTGAAGAGAATATTGTTTTTATAAGTTTTCATAATCAACGAGGGGTAATGTGCCAAATCCACCACTCTGAACAATTCCTAGTGTACCGAAAAGGGATAATGTCACAGTTTATTTTTTGATAATAAATTCCTTTTGTTAATGAAGTACATCCCGTAATTACTTCAAGAGTGTAGTTTATGTAATAGACTGCAAGGGCGTGAGTTATACCATATATTTTACCTAAGTTGACGTATCTAGGTTCAACTTATATGATTGGCCTAATATGAAGCAAACTATTATAGCATATATATTGCTTGTAGGTGATTCCATGTGCAGTCGTTTATCCAAAGAACCTCAGCGTCGTTGAACGGAATCAACAAAGTCAATGAAGTTATTATTACTTTAAATGCTAAGACTGGTAGAGCTTATTGAAGATTATTTACGAATGCGTTGAACTAAACTGCTGTACGCGAATTGACTGTACTTTCTCTTTAAATCTTATCTCTATTCTGTGCATGTGTATGCAAATAAATATGAAACAGAACGATGCTTATTCTGTACATAACGTCACTTAGTTCTGTGCAGATGATTCAAAAGAAAAGAACATATAAAATGAAGGGGATTGTGATTCTGTGTATTATAAGCTATCTTGTACCGAACGCTTGGAGTGAATGTATTTTAGAAATTCCAGGCAATAAAGAATATGCTCCGTCATGGGAAAAGAAAATTGGTGATGAGTGGTTTAAAATTCCTTTTATAACCAATCGATTAAAAGTGCAAGACGGCGAAACAATTAACGGATACTGTGCCTCCGGTTTTGCGTAAAAATATTCCCATAATAACTAACTGAAATCTCTTCTACAAAAAAATATTTCCTTTTTAGAGATATCGAATTTAGTGTGGAAGTCGAAAGAGATTGCGGCTACTACGACCATGAGTGTAAACACAATCCGATGCAAACGGAATGGAAACAAATAGAGGTAGCTGACAGAAACATAGCGATTGAATGTTCTGGCGATTCGCTGAAGTGTGGGTCGAGTGTATTAACGGATGTATCCACTATAGAGTGCAATAAGGTTACGTGGGCCGTAAAATCGGCTCAAAGTAATGAAACGAAAACTTCTTGGTGCAAGAACGAACTTCACACATTTAAGTTGTCCACTAACAACTTGCATCGAGACCGCATTTTGGCCCACATTTGCTACGATTTGCGAGAGTTTTCATTACAGGCCGTTAAGTATAATACAACTAAACGCAACGCTAAAGCTTGGAGTGCGAATGAAGTAAGTAGAAATCGAAATCTACTTTCAAGAAGAAAAAAGCTCTGCAAAGTTTAGGAAAAAATTTAAGATATTTAAAACAAAACTCGAAATAAATTTCGAGATATTTCTTCCAGACGGACGTTATAGATTTGTTATCAGCATTTCATAATACAATTCAATTAATTATACCGAATATTGCAATTGTAATAGTAGTAACCAAGCCCTCAGAGTAAATTATCATTTTATTCTTTCTTTTCCATTCCTCTTTACTTTCCAGATGTTACCGGTTGCTCTAAATGACTTACCAGAAGCGACCATACTGTCAAGCGAAGTGAAATTTTTAAATACAACAGTTCTTCATATAGAGTGAGTGACCAAACGCAAGTTTCTTACAGTTTAATATATAAAATCTACTGCGTATGTATGTGATAGCTGTACATAATCAAAATTGATTAGTTTGTCACTTAGGCTGTTTACTTTTTTTAGTTTATATTGAAGTTTATTGAATCGGTAGGTGAGCGGGAATTATTCTAAAAAAATGAGTTGACTACGCATATGTATACAAATGCATCGTCTACAGCAAGGCAATTGAGAAATAAAGAATCTTTGAACATACAAAGGTTAAGTCTTCTCGAAAAGTGCAAATACCTCCCATGCTTTGTTTTTATATGTCTAATAGCTCGTCTCGTGTACACATTGATTTATTAAAATGCATCGTACCACCTCCCACGCAGTCCCCAAAAAGACTTTAGATTATTACACTTAATCAGATTATTATAGTTAAATCGACTCAGGGTTATTGTTCGAATCGATTCTGTCTGTACCTACCTTCGTCTGTCCTCATCCACAGTCCTACGCTCATCCAAGTGTTTTTGTGTTCAATTAGAGGTCGCAAGAGATGTTTTAGTTGCAGGACCCACGTTATGGAAAATGGTTTCTGTCGGAGAACTTTTGCGTTTCCTCCTATATACCATATATTTCATTATCTCTCTTTTTATCTCACCTCGTAATAGTAGCGCTTGAACAGTAAGTCTAATTTTAAATACTTTAAATAGGTAACAGTACATAGGTCGACAACGGCGGGTTACCTTTCGAGTATCATTCCACATAATCGTTACTATGACAAGGCAAAGTACTTTATTCGATACATATTAACAAAAAATTGAAAGAATTGTATTAGGGGAGTAGATATGGGGTATGTAGTGGTCGGCATTGTCCGAATTTTGATGGTTTTATTTATGAAATGTGATGTATCGACTATATATTTATATGAAACCTGATAACAAATTTGTGAAATGTCATTAAAAGATTGAAGCTTTCATTAATTGTTTGGTTTTTTTTTAGAAATGATGTCTTACAACGTCATCTTGAAACATTGAGTAAAAAAAATGCTTGGTTGAAGTTGACTCGCTATGAATACGCGAACATCATCCAAAGCGGACCGTTCCTGAACTATTTCAATCAATATCATCAACTGCTAGACATTTTGTGGTGGAATAATCTACGCGTAGCAAATTGGCGCCACTTCATGAATGCTTTAGAGCAACACACAACAATATACAGTTATATTATATATACTGGTACACTGGATGTGGTACAAATACCGGTCTGGTCGAATCCAAGCGAATTCGAATATTTGGAAGTTCAGGTTAATAAATGTCCTTTTTTCAATTTTACCATATGTTGAATGATTTGCTTTCCCTTCACATCAGAACGGTTACGTGAACAGTACAATGCCTCAGTACATATGGATGTATTTAGAATCAAGCGACGGCAAAAACCCCGATTTATATGTCTTCGGTTATAATTCGCCTTACGCCGAGGTATAAGAGATTTTTTTAAAAGTTCCCGTTTCTTTTTAATGTTGTCTCATTTTCATAGTTTTTCCCTATAAACAAAGTGAAATTCTGCACGGATATATGCGGCGATTTCGATTGGTTGAAAAATGCCCGTTCCTCATTTCATTACAATAATTTTGGCATTGTGTTCTGCTGTTCACCTGAATCAGTAAAAATTTCTGCATATGGGACAAAATTACCCCACAAATTGTCAACTCCTCCCCTGGAAATTGCACACATTCCGGATAATATTTCTCCAGAACAAGAACAAGAAGAAGAGTTATCCAAATTAGAAGAAATGGAGGGAAGCACCGAAAACCCAGAAGTTGCAGAAAATTCAGAAAAACAAAAAAAACCCTATACCATTGAAACGCATATTTATGCTGATTCGGTCGAAAATCGTTCGGTTGATTAATATATGAAAAACTGTCATGTTCGAAAAAAAAACCATTGAAAATGTTCTAAAAATTGTGTATTGATTAACAAGTATTTTGTGTCAATTTGTTGTTGTTGTTGTTGTGTTTTGTTTTTAAAGTGGGTAATAAGTCCGCAATAATTTACTCTCTTCCCTTTTTTGTGCTTAAATGTGCTCGCTGCTTCAGTTGCAGTTTAGATGAAAAGGGAAAATTAGTGACTAAAAAGTTTTTCTGGTCATAAGTTTCACGTTGCATTTTGAGTGTTATTTTCTTTTTGTGTGAATTCTGATGATCGATATAGTTCTGAACGTTCAAGTCAGAAAGAAAACTCCCTCCTTCTGATAACAATTAAGCTCAGCCTTTCTGTAATTTTTCATTTTGCAACCTTCTATTCGGAATGGAATCTGTCAGCTTCAAGCTTCCCCTTGTAACGAATAATTTCCGTATAAGGAATAAACTTCTTCTTAACAATTAGGTGTTTGCAAAAATTTTGATCAGCGACTTCTGCCGGTAAATATGATAAAGAAAAGGGGAAATACTAGTGTACATAACGGTTGAATTCGATAGTTCTGACCTCCTCTAAATAAAATAACACTTTCTTAATACTATTGATTTATTCAGCGTACGCCAACGCTAATCATGGAACCTTCAATATTGCATTTTCGACATACATATTTGTTGTTGCTTGATTTGAAGGTGTTTCCTGCCGAAACCCATCAAACACGTTCAGAAGTCTAGGGTGATGCTGCTTCATTATATCCCAATTATCGCTTTTGTTTTCAAAAGTGTAAAAGTCGTGATTTTGGTGTTAATGACAAAAATCCTGGACAAATCCTCAACGACCATGAATTGCAAGACTTATTAGCCGAGAACCCAGCACAAACTCTCGACAAAACTTTTGAACACCTTGGCAGTTGATGAATCAAATGTTTCTAGACGTTTACATGCGCTGCGAGAACGGCTACCATAAGAATTGACTGAAAATGCCATTTCGCACCTTTCCAACATGGCGGTTTCATTGCTTGCCAGGCGAGAGAAGAAGAGGTTTTTCGGAGGCGTATTGTGGCTGGCGAAGAAAAATGAGTCCACTACGACAATCTCAAACGTAAAAGTCGGGGAATAGTCCAGAAGAGCCATCGACATTGACACCGAAGCGGAATATTCATGATCATTACGTTTTGCTGGGCATACGGTCAAATCAATAAGGTGTTGTGTCTTACAAGCTCCTGAAACTGATTAGAACTGTTTCTGCAGATGTTCACCGACATCAATTGAACAAATTGAAGTATGTATTGTTGCAAAAAAGACCAGCAATAGCGGCCAAAATTGACTGAAAATTCAGGATATCCAGGAGAAGCATCGAATGGGAAGTGGCCGAACAAGTGGTCAAATCCGAAGCGTTTTCAATAGCATTTATCCTTAGACAAGAAAACGTTAGTGTGTCAAATTTCATCAAAGTATCTCAAATAGTGCGGTGTCTCGGTTGAACAAAAGAAAACAAGACGGACAGATTGATTCTGACGGTGAGATCGGTTGAGAAGATCGGTGTAATAAAAAAGGTAGATCCATCTTAAGCCTCCTAGATACGCACGAGCTTAACACGTCACCAGGGTATCACCAGGGTACAAATACTGTAAATTAGATCTTGTCAACATATAAAGGCTTATTATATCCTAACAAACTTTTGGTAGAGGGTATATTAAACTTCTGGGTATATATTACATAGCATGTAAACATAAGGGACTTGAGATAGATCGACCTTTTCAGAATAATTTTTCGAAGCAATTTAATCTTGTTTGTCTTTCTGTCTGCTGGAAGTTCGCGCACGTATTTTTTCGGTAAATAAATTAGATCATCCCATTCAAAAGCTGCTATTTTCAAAATTTTGTATAAAAGTTTCTTAGTAGTAACGTTTCGGAATATTCACTTGATAAGACAGATACGAGATGGACGGTACAAGTTTCGAGCTCTTTTCCTTATATAAGTAAGCCACATGTTTAATATTTTAATCATAAACGTTTGTCATCCGTTTGTCTATAATTTAATTTCGATATTAGACCGGATCAGCAAAATAAAAATGCTCCTAAGACGTAATCCCTAATATCCTTAAACAAGCCCTTATCATTCAATTCTTAACTCTATTAAAGGCACCTCTTCAATTTAAACGCCCACATCTTATGTTCGTTAACTGTCAGCGGAATGACTTTTCTTGTTTTCTTATTGTTTCTTATTTATTCTTTTTTGTTTTTACCTTTGATTTCTTTTTTAAAGCCTTCATTTTTTAAGTTAATTGAACGTATTTTACTTCAGCTAATAAAGTTTTGGTGCTCAGCTCTTATGACTAAACAAACAAATAAACATACCGCAAACGAAACACACTGAACGAATTCGGGGAAATTACCAAATTCTCTTCTCCATGCCGTAGAATCATACGGCGTCTCAGATGAGACACAACACAACGTTCGCGCCTTTGATTATATTTATGGGGATTTGGAAAAAAATGTCGCCTGAGAAATTTTTCTTTCACTTATTATATCAGTTAACAAAACTTTCATTAAATTTCCTTTTTGACGCGATACTTATCAAATTAGGCTTTATCGATTCAGTTTATTTAATTAATTTGACTCTTATCTGTCTTGTATTCTCAAATGTCAATTAAGCTCCCAGACAATATGTAATAAGCATAAACCAAACAATGTTGCAGTCAAGTCAACTTAAATATCAAACATCGTGTTATTTAACTTATACATACATTCATTTTATGAAATTAGTCCATTGGTTTGGTGTCCGTACAAAAACGTGTAAAAAGGGAAATTTCAATTGCTTGCATAAAAGTCATACAACTAGCAACTGAATAGCACAACGTGTAAAACAGAAATAAAAACTTCTGGCCTTATTGGTAGGATGTACGGTATAGAAAGAAAGCAGTTTGTAAATAGGATAATGTAAAAGGCAAATTACCATATTGTATGGTAATTATGTGTTTGTGCGTAAAAAAAGAATTTCCTAAGTGTATTCAATTTTTGCTCACTCTACTTGCACCATGAAGACATCTATTCAGTGACGTTAATCGAATTGGGAAATCGATCGCATCTTTTATGAACTTTAATAAGAAGGGAGAGTTTTTTCAAAAGTTTTAATAGTGAGAGAAAAGCATTTCAGTCCAGCAAAGATGTGTCAAATGCGCTCCCAACGATCTCTCATATGCCGGGAATGGCATAAGAAGGTTAAGAATAAAGGAATTTCTCGTATAGCGTAGAAAAGCAAATTCAATTTCAAATGAAAGCTAGATGAGTCATCGTAAAATACTTTAAAGAGCGTATGTTGATGCAATATTTACTCTTTAATCTAGAGCACCTCCAAGCCTCTGTACGGTATCAGCAAAGTCAATAACAACATTATCAGTATTAATATTAAGGTTTACTCTTTGTATTGATCATGATTTTTTCAAGATTATCTATGAGTTTCTAGGAATTTTTACGCTAAGCTGCTATACGCGAATTGACTATAGCTACTTCTTAAACCTTATCTCCGTTTTGTTTGTATGTGCATACACAATGATGCGTATTCTCTATAAGATGTGTGATTAGATGAAGGAAAACATTAGTTCCTTGCTAGCATTCAAAAGAAAAGAACTGATTAGCGAAACATATATAAAAAGCAATAATGAAAATTTTGATTCTATGCATTATATACTATCTTGTGCCTAACGTTTTGAGTGAATGCATTTTAGAAATTCCGGCTAATAAAGAGATTGCTCCTGTATGGAAAAAGAAAATTGGTAGCCATTTGTTTAAAATTCCTCATATAACCAATCGTTTGAAATTGCAAGACGGTGAAATCATTCATGGATATTGTGCCACTAAATTTAAGTAAAAATATTCCCACACAATAATTAACCTCTAATTAACCTATAATCCTTCTACCACATTATGTTTCTCTTAGAAATATCCGATATAATATTCAACACGAAATTGACTTTGATTGCGACGACTATGATTATGGGTGCAAAGCGAATCAGATGTACATAGAAACAAGAGATGAAGAAATAAGTGGCAAAAATGTAACGATTAAATGTTCTAACGATTCCTTAACATATGAGTCGCGTCTATTAGAATACGTATCCGCAATAGAGTGCAATGACGTTAAATGGATAGTAAATGTGAAATCAGTGCAAAATAGCGAAACGGAAACTTCTTGGTGCAAAGAAAATCATCAAATACTTGAGTTGTCCGTCACCAATACCGACCAACATCATACTTTAGCTCACATTTGCTACGATTTGGAAGACTTTTCATTACAAAGCCTTAAATATAAAACAATTAAACGTACGACTGAACCTTGGAATCCGAATAAAGTAAGTAGAAATCGAACTCTATTTTTACCCATCCAAACTATTTTCAATAGCGCGTGTTCTTGGGCTGGAACGTGGCATACCAATGTTTACCAAAATCTCTAGAAAATGTCGACCTGTAGTCTAAGCAGAAGGATACGTGGGCAAACATCAGACAGACAGGCAGACAGCCAAGCTTCAGATAGCGATTCTGAATCGATCAGTATAATGAAAGATGCATCTATCTCAAGTCATCCTGAGTGGTGTATACATTCACACTTAACTTAATACACACTATGGGTGTACCGTCACAAGTGACATAACAAATTTCGTTCGATAACAATCGCTATAGACTGTTCACACCAATTCGTACCGGCATTGCTGTAATTTCCATTTCATAGAAATTTTTCGAACAACCTTCTGGGTGAAATACATTCAACACTAAAATTGTGTATTTATTCTGTAGTGTGTTAGTGAGAGATTTTTAGAAATCGCTTGTTTTTTAAATAAGAGTTGAGAAGACGGAATTTGAACAAAGCCGGTTGTCTTTACCTCAAATTAATTATAAAATTTAATTGCAAGCAATAACTCCTTTAAAAGTCGTCTGAGAGATTGAAGTGACGGGTTAGAACATTTCGTAGATCAACATATCTTTCCCTATTTGTTACGACGATGCCAAAGCGAAATAAAAGATGAATCAGTTAGTCTACAATACGTTCTATAGCTTCGAAATTTGACCTTTTCACCATATGATCTTTAATTTATTATCACAACGAAGTTCTACTGCTACGATAAATGGGGAAGTTCTACTGCTACGATAAATGGGGTAGGATATAAAAACGCCACAGGGCTCTAGGAAAAATTACGAAAATAAAAGTAATAAAGACGAATAGAGCTCTAAACTTTTCCTTCACATGTTCTAGGTCTGTTGCCAATATCCCATAATAGAATTTAAGAATTTACGCAATATATTATAACTAAGTATTGTTACAAAAGTAATAAGAGCTAACGCTTTGCTCGAGTAAAAGCTCAGATCATATTATCGTTTCCCCCCTTTTTTCTTTCTCTTTTATAGTTTTTACCTGTGGTTTTAGATGATTTACCCGAAGCGAGCACATTATCAAGCGAAGTTAAATTTCCATATGAAACGGTTCTTCACACCGAGTGAGTGAGTAAATTAATTTGTAAATTAAATTCAAGCTTTGGATGGTTGTACTTGATATATAAAAATTGAATTATTATACCCATCATAGGTGGGTGAGGGGTCATTTTGTCAAACCTTTTGCAACATTCACGAAGTAACTTCATAGATCACCTCAAAGTACATATGTACTTGATTAGCATCTGAATTCTGAATTTAAGCAATTCCGTCTGTCCGTCGGTCTACAGGTGAAATTACATGCAATAAACATGCTTCTGGCTGTAAAAATTTATGGAAACACGGGACGTTCTTGGATTCAGCAGATAAACCTAAGCAGGCATAACCTCCGGGCTCTATTATAGCGCCTGTTCAAAGATGGACGGAAGGCTACGCCTGTCCAATATTAAAGTACAGCAATTCCATTTTTTTTTTTTCAAAAAAGCGCATGCCTACAATGCAACATAACCTGGGAACATTTTTGCTTCCTAGTTTTTTGGTCATTTCTCATAAACTACGGCAGACACACGATCAAAATGAGTATAGAAATTTAGTTTCTCGGGTAGCGGGTATAAAAAATTGAATATAATTTTTTATTTGTTTAGGTATGAGTTCTAATCTTTCGGAAATTGGTTGTAATTGCACAACCAGCCTGATAAGCAATTTCGAAAATATCATGAAAAAATGAAAGCTTCAATTAATCAATTTATTTTTTTTTTTTTAGAAATGACGTCTTACAACATTATCTTGAAAGATTGGGTGAGAAAAACCCCTGGTTAAAGTTGGCCCATTACGAATACGCTAACATTATTCAAAGCAGTCCGTTCATAAAGCAATTCAATCAATATTATCAACTGCTAGACATTTTATGGTGGCGTAACTTACGCGTAACAAATTGGCAACGCTTCTTGAACGCTTTAGAAGAGCACATAACTGTATACAGTTATACAATATATATGGGGGTAGCGGGTACGGTGCAGATACCGCTCTGGTCAAATCCAGACGAATTTCAATATTTGCAAGTTCAAGTAAAAATATCCTTTTTCCCAATTTTAACAAACCTTTGAGTAATGTCTTTTCCACTCGCATCAGAATGGTTACGTGAATACAACAGTGCCTCAATACATTTGGATGTATTTAGAATCAAGCGATGACAAAAATCCGGATGTGTATGTCTTCGGTTATAATTCGCCTTACGCTGAGGTACATAAGGTTTTTTTAAAAGTTTCGATCTTTTTTAGTCTTGTCTTGTTTGCACAGTTTTTCCATTCTAAAGAAGTACAATTTTGCTCGGATACATGCAGCGATTTTGATTGGCTGAAAAATGTTCGGTCCTCCTTTCACTATGATAATTTCGGCATTGTGTTCTGCTGCTCACCGGAATCAGTAAAAATGTCTGCGTATGGAGGAAAGTTACCCTACAAATTATCATCTTCTGCCTTAGATGAAGCTGCAAATATTTCCAGGCAAGAGGAAAAAGTAATAAAGTTAGAAGAAAGAGAAGAAACAGTGGAAAGCACAGAGAAGGCAGAAGTTGTAGAAAAATCGGTAAAACTAGAAGAACCGACGACACCGCATAAATTATCAACTTCTGTCTTAGACATTCCAGAGAATTATGTAACTGCTTCTATGGAAGAGGAAATAATAAAGAGGGTAAAAGAATTAGAGGAAATAACGGCAACGAGTAGTGAATTAGAAGAACGCCAGGCATTCGAAAATTTTGTTTTTGCTCGACGTATTTCAGCTGCTGATTGGAGTGCAGAGAGTTTGGGTTATCATTAAATAAAATAATTTGTCCTGACGCCTTCTCAATATTTTTATAAAAATTAAACGATGTCGATAGTCTAAGCTGCTAATGCCAATCCTATTGTTTTTGTCCTAGAAATTGTTTATTCAGTGTAAATGTATAATGATAATAATAGTAAGCAATGCCAACATCAACGCGTGCTTTATAGCCTGCTTCGTACGCAAACTAATTTCGATATCAGACCGGATAAGTTCAACTAAAGTGATCTTAAAGCATGCCTAACATTCTTAAGCGAGCCATGTTACGTTTGCATTTATTTAAGGTACGTCTTCAACTTGTCTGTGTATAGCTTATATTATTGGCTATCATCAATGTGATTAAAGTTTTTTTTTTACATTTTAAGCCTTTTTTCCCAATTGTTTATATTTATACATATTTGGTGTATTGGATTTCTATAAATAAATAAATAAACGAATGAAACGAATTGAACGTATATTGGGGGAATTCACCACATGCTGTTCTCAACGTTATAGGATCATGCGAACTCTCAGGTCCGAGACACACAAGTCTTTTCATATTATAATTATTATGATTGTGTACACCCGGAAAAAAGCGTTGCGAGAATAATTCTTCTCTTATTTTTACAAACAAATATTAACTTGTTACCTCCACTAAGGAAGACGTCTTAGAATTGAAATCTTAACAGCGTTCACAAAATTAATATGTATGCATTATTTGATTGGGACTGCGAGTTAAGAAGAGTTTCAAAACGTCTTAGTTCATCGCTTGTTTTGAGTTATTTTTGAGAAAAAGAAAGCAATTTGTGAGTAAAGTAAAATTGCAGGTACTTTGTCGTCTTCTGGCCTTTTACTATAACAAATTTTTCTGAGTGTAACAATTATTGTTTGTTCTATGCCAGGTGCGTCCACTCTTTGTGTCATTTGTGTTGAAATGTATAAAATAAATTTACTTTATTTACTTTATATAAATAGTATCAATAGAATTAATAAACGTAGGCCTACATCATAAGCACAGTCACAGTTACAGTTGAAGAAGCGAAAAAAATAAATGTATTAGTTGTACAAATACATTAATATAAATAACACAATAAGAATCAAGCTCAGACGTAAGCAAATCTCTGGTCATACAATGTTTATTCCATGAGTTCCATGAGATTTCTTACAGACCACAAATCAATTGTTGAATCTGAAAGTTATTACGTTAAAACGACGTATGAACGACAAAATTTTACAGAGCCAAAATTTCGAAGAACTCACGGGCACAAGGAGGTATGAGATTTTTGAGGCGCACGCGATAAACAAATCGTGCAACATCAGTGATCGCTGATTTTATTTTTTGAAGATGGGCTTTTCTTACGAAAAAGGTCGTCTTGCACTTAGATTAATGTTGTAATTTATGCGACACATTAGAAGAGCGTAAACAGTTCTATATTTGACGTAAGTTGGCATGTAAAAATTTATCTTTTATGATTGGCGTAATTTAAAGCAATCTTTAACAATATATTTCCAATGTCCAATATTTGGTCTTTTCTCCAGAGTAGAGTTTCGATTGCACGAAATCAACAAAGTCAATAACGTGTCAATGTTTGGATTAATCGACCAATTCGTTGATTTCAACTGTTGTGCGCTGGTTGGTTATACCTGCTCTTTAAATCCTATCTATATTCTGTACGAAATGTTCGATTAGATGAAGGAAATCATTTAGTTCTGTGTCGACGATCCGAAAGGAAAGAACTGATTAGCGTGCATATAGACATATGCAAGAGAAATAATGAAAATTGTGATTTTGTGCATTATATGGTTTCTCGTGCCAAATGTTTGGAGTGAATGCGTTTTACAAATTCCGGACAATAAAGAGATTGCTCCTCTATGGAAAAAGAATATTGGTAATCGTTGGTCGAAATTTCCTTACATAACCAATCGCGTGAAATTGCAACATGGCGAAATCATTAAAGGATATTGTGCCACCAAATTTAAGTAAAACTATTCTGATAACAACTATCTTTTAAATCTCCCGTATGTTCGAATATTTCCCTTTTAGAGATATCTTCAATAGCGTTGAAGTCAAAAGAAAGTGCGAATATGACGATTATGACTATGACTGTCAAGGGGAACCGCTGCGGACGGAATTGAAAAAAATAGAATTATCTCACAACAACATAACGATTGAATGTTCTGGCGATTCACTGAAACATGAATCGCATTTACTCAATAATCTACACATATTAGAATGTAATAGCGTCGAATGGACAGTAAACATGAAATCAGTTCAAGATAGTGAAACGAAAACATTGTGGTGCAAAGAGGATCATCAAATACTTGAATTGTCCACCAACAATTTGGATCAAAACCGCACTTTAGCGCACATTTGTTACAATGTGGAAGAAATTTCATTGCAGGCCGTTAAGTATCCAACAATAAAGCGTACGACTGAATCTTGGAATGTAAATAAAGTAAGTAGAAAGCGAACAATATTTACAACAAAAAAGAAGAAGCACTGCAAAGTTTAAGAGAAAATTGAAAAATTTTGGCAATAAAGTTGGTTGATGGATATCAACGTCGAGATTTGTATTTCACGCTAACGCTATGGATTTGTTATCAGTATCAGTAGTAACAGTAGTAATTGTCCCTTCCTTACATTAGCAGCCCAGGATATATTGTCTGCTTATTCTTTTTTCTTTCTTTCTCCTTTCTAGTTTTTACCCGTTGTTCTGGATGACCTGCCAGAGGCGAGCATACTGTCTAGTGAGGTGAAATTTCTAAACTCAACGCTTCTTCATATGGAGTAAGTAAATAATCTCTAATTTTTTTCACACTTTGATTATTAACATCTATTATATGTATATGTGAAGATTGTACAAAATCAATATTGAATGACTTATCAGCTGGGCTATCTACATGTTTCGATTCGTTCACGAGCTTATTAAGCGAATGAACTAGTAGAGTAGTTGAGAATGCATCTCCTAAGTTGACTCAGTTAAGTCAACAATCGATTGACAAATAAAGAACCGTTGAACATACTGACATAGACTAATGTTATAGCCTCCCCGACAAGTGCAAATAGTTTCCATTCCTGACTATTACATATTCCAAAAACGATATGTTCGATTCATTCAAAAACTTTTTTCTTACTAAATGTGAGCTCAAGTCTCTCTGAAATGCTTTACATATTCATATCAAAGCTGATAAGAGATTTGCAAAATTAATTAAATTAAAAGAACGAAGCTTTAATGAATTGATTTCTGTTTTTAGAAATGATGTCTTAACACGTTATCTTGAAACATTGAGTGAGGAAAACCCGTGGTTGAAATTGGCCCGTTATGAATACGCCAACATTATTCAAAGTAGCCCGTTTATGAATCATTACAATCAATATAATCAACTATTGGACATTTTGTGGTGGCATGATTTACGTGTAACAAATTGGCGACGATTCTTGAAAGCGTTAGAAGAGCACTCAGCTGTAAATAGTTACACAATATATACGGGCGCAATGGGTGCGGTGCAGATACCAATCTGGTCAAATCCAAGCGAATTTCAATTTTTGGATGTTCAGGTTAAAAAATATGTTTTTTTTTTTTCAATTTCAAAGTAATTAGAACGATTTTTTTTTCATTCACAACAGAATGGTTTCCCTCTACCTCAATATATTTGGACATATTTAGAATCAAGCGACGGTAAAAATCCGGATCTGTTTGTGTTCGGATATAACTCACCTTACGCTGAGGTATAAAAGATTTTTCAACATTTTGATCACTTTTAACGTTATCCTTATTGTTGCATAGTTTTTCGATACGAGCGAAGTGAAATTCTGCGCGGATACATGCAGCGATTTTGATTGGCTGAAGAATGCCCGCTCCTCATTTGATTATTCTAATTTTGGCATCGTGTTCTGCTGCTCACCAGAATCAGTGAAAGAATCTTCATATGCAAGAAAGTTGCCCTACAAAATATCAGCTCCTGTCTTAGACATTTCAGATAACGACGCAACTGTTCCCATTGGAGAGGAAGAAGTGAAAAAGTTGGAAAAATCGAGAGAAACAGTAGAAAGCACTGAGAAACCAGATGTTGTAGAAAAATCGGAAATACCGGAAGAACCTCAAACACTCGGAAATTATATTTTTATTGATCGTAATTCTGCTCTTGATTCGGGTTTTGAGGGTTCTGGTTATTAATATATAAAGAATTGCGAGCTTTAAAAAAAAGGCATGAAATACTTAGGAATAATATGTTGAAAGTTTTTATTCCTTTATGACATCTTAAACAATAAACGCTTGAGGTCAAACTGCTTGGGTTATGGCATTTTTTTTGTTAACAGGGAGTGTAAGTGCAGTTAGTTTTCGTACTTAAGTTGAGATTATTAATTACCATTTAATGTACAGTTTAACGGTTTAATTAATTCTCTACGCATACATGTAGGAAAAACTGAACTTATTTTCTCCTTCCGAATTCTGGTAGATCCTTGGTAAGACGTAGTTGCTTTCTAAATGGAAACTGACGTCAAGGGAAGGAAGAATTCGGGACTAAAATAGTGGTCTTAACTTGTTTGTGAAATCATAATTAATGAACTAACATGCTCAAGTCGATTCCATTCGGAGAATACACATATTATACAGAATATCCAAAAAGTACTTTTCTGCTTTGCGAACCTGTGAGATTCTTGGACATCGTCGTCATAAATTTCGATAAATTTCCTCATTGCCATGAAACTCAACTCAACTTTGCGATAATTTTTCATTTTGCATTCAACGTGATTTCGTCGTCAACCGAATCTGTTATGCTAAAACTTTGAATGCACATTTTTTTCCGATGATAATAAAATATAACGCGGTCAGTAGATCTACATTTTCAAAATAGCGGGCAAGAGCAAGAGCAATTATGTCAGCCTATAAGAAAGGTCGAATCGTAATAGACTAAAAAGTAGAAAACTTATTGTATAAGAAATTTTGTGATAATCGGTGTTTAAAAATCATATACAAATTGTTTCTGAGAGCTACGTTTACGCGACTACACATAAAAGCTTGAAATTAAAATCCTAACGCCACAAGAATTTTTATATAATTCCGTATGCATATGAGAAGATGCATTAATAACGGTAATCACCTTATAAGGCGGACTTTCAAAAGCAAGCATTAAAGTCCCCTCTCTCCAGACCCCAGTTACAAGGAAAGCAATCGTACAAAATATGTAATAGAACCGATATCGGTTTCATCATAAAAATTTTGAACTTATACAGGTATTTAGTAAGAACTATCACGGAAGTACTCGGAACAGCTAAAATAATTACAAACGATTTGCTAAGCAATTTCTTATCGTTTCAAAAATTTTATGAATTTACAAACACTAAAGAAAGATGATGGATAGTTTGTGCGCATTAAGTCTGCTGTAAAATACTTTTAGTATCTACTATCTCATCGTTCGTGCTTTCGTCTGTCATCAGTTGTTCCACTTGATCCAAGCGCTAGGAAAGCTAAGCGACATAACGTGGACTGTGCTATGCTTATGTGTTGACACCGGCATGGCATTAGCCCCGCGAACACAAAAGAGTTTTGCTCATTAGTCAATTTCCTTCATAGCGTTCTATTCTGTACTATGCTTTGGATCTGTTTGTATGTGTCACAACCATATCGTGACTATTCCCGCTTTTGCTTGGTGGCAATCTATCGGCCAATCAGCTCGAAAACGTGCCGCTATTCGTAAGGTAATGCTTGTCCACTATTCGTTCAAACTTTAGTTTAACTTACATTTTTTTTCCGGAATTATATAAAACTTAAGCGTAAGCGCAAATTGCATAAACAACTCTGTGCAGATTTCAATATCAATTACTCATAAAAACATTTATGAAGAAAAAAATTAGATCCTTGTGTAGCACACGATTAAATAACAATACAGTTTAATAAAATCAGTTAAAGACGATATTGTGCCCCGTATTCATATCAATGCATATGTACATACGTACACTTGGAAAAATTGTCTAAATGGAAAGAAAGATTTCTTCCTGCATTTTTGCATATCGTGAAATGTGGAATCGAATCTCACCTGATTTATATGTTAATACAAATGATAAAAACCTATTAAACGAGAAATCAAATGTTAACATAACTATATTCTGGGCTATTGTTTTCAAGCAAGTCCTCAGTCGATTAAGAGAATTAAATTAAAAGCCAAATACATAGGTGAGAAGAGTTACGAAGTCGAAGGGACTTGAATTTACTTTTGCGCTTTGCTACATAAAAGTGATCAAGCAGTAAAGTATTCACTTATAACTTACTTATCCAAAGTTAGGTGAGCCCAACATACAAGTCTCTGATAAGACGTTAATATACTCAAAAAAAATGTATCTGCTTGTTAGATAAAAGTACCTGAGGGCCTGAGAAGTGGTTATGCCTGCTGTATATAATTTCTCTTTGCTCAGTGTATTCATACGAATGCCGACGTTTGTTGATAAGTCTGTATAAGATGTTCAGTGATATTGAAGAATTGATTTAGTTCAGCACCACAGGCCTGGGAGTAAAGAATTTACTGGAGAGCGTATACGAAAATTATGATTAAACTTTTTACTTTGTGGATTACTTGTTATCTTGTGCGAAATGTCTGGAGCGATTGTTTCTTACGAATTCCGGAAAATAAAGAAAATGCTCCGTTGTGGCAAAAGAAGGTCGGAGATCTTGGGTTCAAAATTCCTTATATAAGCCATCGCTTAAGACTGCAAGACGGTGAAGTCATTAACGGATATTGTGCTACTAAATTTAGGTAGAAATGCTCTGTCAATCTTTTACTTAAATCTCTTTTCCAATTTTCACACCAATTTTATAATAGAGATATCGGTTATAATGTCAAGGTTGCAGTTTATTGCACGCATTACGATCGCGAATGCCAACGTTCTCGGATACGCACGGAAACGAAATACTTGAGTATAAATGAAAGAAATGTAACCCTTGTCTGTGACGGAAGTTCATTGAAATACAATTCAAACCTTTTGGGCGAGGATACGATGTCATGCAACGACGTTAAATGGTCAATAATTATGGAATTAAATCGTGATGAAGAGAGTAAAAAGTCTTGGTGCAAAGAAGATTATCAAACATTTGATTTATCCACCAACAATTTGGATCAAAATCGCATTTTAGCTAAAATCTGCTTTGACGTTTCATTACGATCGATAAAATATAAAACAATTGAACGCAAAACGAAAATATGGAATGAAAAGAAAGTAAGTGAATATCCAATTTCAAATTATAGAACCAAAAAAAAAAAAAAAAAAAAAAAAACAAGTAAAAATCTATAGAACACACACACATTCTTGTCCAACGATTCGGTGATATATCCAAACTTCTTCAAACATTTAGCAATTTTATCGTATTAGATATGGGAGAAACGAGCTTCGTACTTAAGAAATGCTTTTCCAACGAGCAAAAGCCTTGAATGTTATACAATACAAGATTTTTTTTTTTTATCAGACTTGGATGGAATGTAAAATGAGCTTTAAAAAGCGTTGTTCTTTTTATTGATCGTAAAGTAAACTAATCAAAAGTTAAACCTATCAATCACATCGTTTCTATAACACAAATTAAAAATTTCTAAGGGTCACTTTTTGAAAAAGTCTTGTACTCAATGGGAGCCAAAATGTAAGTCGACTTTACTTATCTGTCAAATTAACCCTTTGTGGGCGTATATAGGTTTGGTTTCATGAGAAGACCTAAATAATAAATCTCTCTGGTCTAAATCATATTATTTTAAATTTTTATATCGAGTTATTCTGTCTTCACTAATTTTCATCATAAAAAAACTATAAATTAGATCTTGTGGTGTATGTCTAATAATCTCAGTATAAAGGAATTAGGACAAATCTACCTTTTCAGAATTATTTTCTGAATCGACGTTGTTTGCTAGTCTGTCTACCTGAAGTGCGCCTGTGTGACATACATTTATGTTCAATCTACAAAACACATCTTTTTGAGGGTATTGGTATGGTAACGTGTTTAATTTTCATTATGAAGTATATGTTCATGTAATGACGATAAGGTGTAATCCAATTCATTATCAATAGGTCTTTGGACATTGCGTCAAGAAATGTCATACCAAGCTTTATTCAAAATATTTCGAGATTGATTTAAAAGATATAGACGGACAGAAAAAAGAAACTCAAAAAGTAAATCAAAAGTAAGCCATTTTCATCCGCAAAGGATTAACATACGCCTCCACCACATGAGACATATCACATAAAAGGTAAATTGTTGAAACTATTTCACCTTTTTTTTTTTGATGAAGGTAGACTATTAAGGGAGAGTATCAAGTTCTTAACACACTTAATGCTGGTAACAGTTAATTAAATTTATGTCTCGTTGCAGTTTTCGCCTGTTGCAGTGAATGACTTGCCGGAAGCGGCAAAAGTATCTAGCGAAGTGAAATTTCTAAATACCACGATTCTTCATATCGGGTACGTGAGCAAAGTTGCTGATACACAAATGTCTCCTTCTACAATTAAACGATTTTTAAACTGTCCGTTAGACTCAATTTTAGTGTGGTGAACGAAGGACTTTTCGGTTCTTTTCCTCTAGCTGGCGAATATATTTTGATTCATTAGAACTTTCAGTTACTTACAGTCTCTTTATCAAATGAAAAAAAAAAAAAAAAAATTAAGAAATATTTTTGGAACCAACTGCTCGTAATTAATTTTTAAATATATGCTCAATTTATTTAAAAAAAGTATTCAAAATCTATCCCACGATACAAAGTCCGGGTTCGGAAATATTTTCATATTATTATATCCCATGATATAAAATATGATTTTAGAAATATTTTTATTAATTAATATTTTTCCTTAGAAACGAAGCTTTGCAACGCAATTTTAAAGTATTGCATCAGAAAAATTATTGGTTACATTTGGCTAACTATGCATACGGAAGCATTATTCAAAATGATCCATTTATAAATTATTTCAATCAATACAATCAACTGTTAGATATTTTATGGTGGCAAAACTTACGCTTAACCAACTGGCGACGTTTCCTGGATGCTTTACAGCAGCATACAGCTAATAATAGTTATGATGTCTACATGGGTACATTCGACGTGGTGCAGATACCGTTATGGTCAAATCCAAAGGAGTCTGAGTATTTAGAAGTTCAGGTACTTATTTCTATGAATTCCAATTTTGAAATTATACTGAAATTTAATTTTCTTCTCTAATTACAATAGAATGGTATCGCGAACACTACCGTGCCTCAATACATTTGGATGTATTTAGGATCAACTAATGGCAAAAACCCTGATTTATATGTGTTCGCCTATAATTCACCTTATGCTTCGGTATCTAACATAATCCTTACGATAACTGTGATATTATTAAATAATTATATTCTTCTTCTTTTTGCATAGTTTTTCGAGCCAAAAGTGAAATTTTGCTCAGATGTCTGTAGCAAAATTAATTGGCTGGAGAGTGCTCATTTTTCGTTCGGTTATGCGAATTGTGGTATTATATTCTGTTGTACACCTGACGCAGTAAAGCAATCTGCATATGCTACGAAGTTACCAAACATATCGATAAGTCGGGCCATGGATACACAAGCAGACAAAAACATTGCTATTCCAGTCGAAGCGATAAAAAATGAAGTAAAGTCCGAAGAAGTAGTGGCAGGAAATAAACAAGATTTTCCGAACAAGGATATGTTACATAATGCACAGCATGTTATGACAAATGCATTTGAACAAAAACCAAACGAATTCATAATGAAAGCAGAGAGGCCAAAAATGACAGAAGAACTCAGAAAATTAAATACACTCGAAAGTCTTGTCTACTCCAATCGCGACAGCGATACGGATTTTACTGAAGGGAACTCTGGTTATTAAATTGTAAACAAAATTTTCATTATTCCCTTGAAAAAGCATGTAAATGGAAATTTTTCATTATATCATTGTATTGCTTTTTTATTAGTTCAATAAACATACCACACAAATTTCATTTAATCTTCTTCACCTAATCGAAAACATTTCTTAAAGGCGATACATTTTCTTGTTAGGGAGATATCGCAACTGGCACAAAAAAATTGCTGGTCAAATAGTCTTTACTTTAAGAAAGCAAGCTATTGTAAATATTTCGGAAAAAAGAAATTTTTCCTTTGCCGATGCTTTGCATTTTTCCGAATATATAGAAAGAAAACCATTATCTATCGTATCATTGAACACAAGACAGAGAGCCATTCGAAAGATGGCAGTGGTCCTGTCAAGAATATTTTTTTTTTTTGATATATTGACTAATCACTCAGGCAACGTTCCCTAATTCGCGTAACGCGGTGGCGGTCAGAAACAGATGAGGCAAGAGAAAGAAAGAAATAAGGGAGGTAGTGTTCACTATCACCTTACAAAGTGTGATTCTGTTTTTTTTTTTTTTATATGATTTACGACTTGCGCGATGCTTTACGGCCTATGCCTATACGGTTAAGAAGATGAAACAGAGATATCGAGAATGACTTCAATCTGAGAGGTAAATATTATAGTTGCTCAGCAAAAGCCTCAAGCTCTGCTGCAACATTTTCGGAGAAAGAGAACGTACAGGAAAGGAAAACTTGAATATCAAGAAGCAATCCTACGACCTTGGAATTGCAGACTAACAGCAAGAATGTTTTACGGATTTGTTGCAATCACTTTAAGAGTGACATTTAAGCGTTAACTTAAACATTGAATTTTTTCATTCAATTCCCCGCCGATTACGTAAATAGCAACATTTTGCAAATCCTCACGACCGTCGTTAGGGGTAGCTATACCGGTAGTTTACTTTATACCCAAATTCGCGTCAGCTACGCTACAAGACGTAGAGCCACTGTCATTTCGCGGAAATGGTTTGAGAATTTTGTTTTTTAATGCTGTTTAAATGGAGCTGAAATAAGGACTATCAAGCTTTGTCCCGATTGTCGTCCCGTGAGTTCAATCGCACTCAGCTTCAAGCGATGGTGGAGCGATAAGTTCTTTACAACAGTGTTCCAAGAAGTTCTTTCAAAACTGTAATCAATTTATAAAGAGGGACAAATGCGCGCCCACCCGCATAAAGAGTAACTATCGGTTGGCGGCACAGTACAGTAGCGATAAACTCTTCTATCGGGTGTTTCCCGACACAATCGCGAACGATTTCTCAATTGTTTGTCTGAAGTGTATAACTGCTTTGGACTGCCAATCTATTTTGAGATATTTTGATGATATATGATAGACTGATATGTTTGGACCCAAGGAGTCTTATTGAAGAAAGATATGATCGAACAATATTTACGACAATTGCCTATATAATGGAAGGGTCGTTTCGAAGTGATGTAGCCTATTAAATGTTCGGTTTGCTTGACTATAATCTCCCAACTTGTTCATTAACTGCATCTAGAGGATATAGTGCGGGGCAAGCAAAATATAGAAGCGTTGCTCGGGCGGTTCTTAGCTTGAAAAAAGTGGTGACCAGAGGTAGCAACGTATATGGACGAATGAATGTCCCCCTCCACCAACCCCCCATTTTAACGCTTCTAATAGTTACTGAGCACATTGATCATCATGCGAAGAATGAGGACGGCCATGATGAAATATAATACTTTTAAATATGTTGGCGTAAGATCCTCTCGACCATTAGTGATCACTCTTTGCTCATAACATACTAGCAGTTGATAATTCCAACAAATATACATCGTAAGCTTAGCTTCTTGAGAATGTGGTTTTATCATCGATGTTGACGGTTTCCTTGATCTCGTGGTCTTTTGTAGAGAGTAAAGGAAAAGTTTCTCTAACTGGATTTTGCAGCAAATATTATCTAAAATTTTCTATGATGAGAAAAATTTTCATCTGCCGATTGACATGACCCATATAAACTTTCCCCATTTCCGTTTACATTGAGTTTGAAACTAAAATAATTGTCTTTTTATACCATGTACCACTTATGATGCAGAGTATACTAAGTTGGTGCGGATGTATGTGACATAAGTAGTTAAGATAGACCTATCTCTAATTATACGGGTCAATTTAGAAAAAATTTTCCCACGCGATTTGAGCAAATTTGTCGCTCTGTCCATGAAAATTTGTGTTCAACCGCAATTTTTGAGATATTTGAAACGAAACGTGTTTTGTCTTAAGACTTATTGCCTTATAGAAAATGGTTTCGATCGTGCCAAGTTTGTGACCTTTCGCCATATAATGCCTTATTTTGAAAAACTTTATTATAAAAAAAATTGCAATAGGCGATTAAAAAACGCTCAATATTAGTATTTCGCCATTCTGAATTAATGTAAAAAATTTGGATCGGATATGATAATTTTTTGGGACTATCATGTATACCCATGTATATAAAACTATTCCTACGAAAACGAAACATTCATATGGATAAAAAATCTAATGATAAAAGTTTGTCCGAAATGGTAATTTGACAAAAAAATGAACTGCAGTAAGTATGGATCACATAAATCCATTTTTTAGACCCTGCTTTATACAAGAGTCTTTATAAAAAGTAAGCTTTAATACGGGAACTAGATGTAACATATAGTGGTCTATGACAGAAATAGGTGAAGAATGATAAAGTCTTTACAACGATAGTAGGGCTTAATGAATTTGGACCACATTGAAAGCATTGGCCAATGTATATGTGTTATGGTCCATGATTACGAAAACAAATGATTAGTTATATCAGACGAACTGGTATAAGGTATATATCGGTCGGCCTTGCTCGACTGTAATGTTGTTACTTACGTTTTGTTGTTTAATTATGTATGTTATCTTAAGTGTGCCGCTATACAGGCTTTGTCTTAAGGGGCTACAGTTCCCATATGCTTTATACTTTAGATATTCAATACTTTGACAAACAATTACAAAATGATCACAGACACAGATTTTCAGCACCCGTTTGCACGATAAATCGGACTGCAGGTGCCTGTACTAAAATACTAAGTCAAGTGCTACTGTCACAATTATCTACACTTGGAAAATAATCTCTCTAGAAAACAATCTTCTTTTAGTGTTAGAAAACCTATCCATTTCTAATTACTACAGAGAGTACTTCGGGATAACGTCCGTGCATGCGCTTATGATTAAATGCCGTAATAGAAAACACTCCTAAATCAAATGAAGTTTAATTCCCGGTAGGAGCTATCTTTTCCACGTAATAAATTCATAAAAATTGTCTTTCAGCTACGTAGTTATTAGTAGTATTAAAGAAAGTAGACTGAGCTTTTTAAAAGCCCGCAAGGACGAGTTTTCATTCGAATGTTTCATTCCTTTCGCTTACTACAATCCAAAGAGAAGAATTTCATAAAAATTGTAAGTTTTGTACAACGATGTTAAGTAAAAATTTATAAAATTAGTGAAAACATTCTATCGAGTGTTACAGAGAAAAAATGAACCGGGTTTGCTCACATTTATGAAACATTTTTTTTTTTCATTCTTCACCTATTTGCGTTAAAAGTTGGACTATATAAGGGCTTACCACTCATCTGCATTGAGAACTATCCTCTGGGCGAGGGTAAGAAAGACATGTCAATGCAATCCAAGTTTAACTTCGCAAATTTTTATGTCTTATAAAAGTGCTGGGCCGATTTTCATCAATAAGATCGAAAGGCCAGAATTTTCTGCAAGAAATAACCCCGTTCCGTGCCTGTTGTCCACATTCATAACACGATTTTTCTGAGGATAGGGCGTTATGTAAAGAATGGTCTGCGATGGAATTCATTTTGGCCGGAAAATGTCATTGTATAAAGTTTTATTAAAAAATTTCGTGTATTGTCATTCTTTGAAAAAAAAAAAAAATTTAACAGAGGGACCGGCATGCCTACATTGATTTAAAACTTGCGGGAGAATTGAATTGTACAAGAAATATAATAATAAGAAATAATTATTGAGCCGATAGCCTGTGTTGCTAGTGCTCAATGTCTTTTTTTAGTCTAAGAATTCATTTCATTAGTCTAAAATTAAAATAATAATAATAATAATAAGAAATAATTGCACGCACTTGCACAATAAATGTAATTAATTTATCTTAATTTTGTTCAATATGATTTTTCCAAGTGTATCACTTGTAAGCCGAATGAAGATTGTAAAGAAGAGTCTGTGATGGTTTCGATGGAACGAGTCAGCCACACCTGCTTCGCCTTGTACAAGTTCGTATACGGCGGCATATGTTCATAATTTTGCTTCATAAACTTAACAATGCGAAGAAATTCATTCAGTCATTAAGAAAACGTTCGGAAGAAGAGAACGCATTATAAAAAAATATAGAAAAATGATTAAATTTATTATTCTATTGATTATTTTCTTTATAATTTCGAATGTTCGATGTGTTTGCTATTTGCAAATCCCCGGCAATAGGGAAAACGCTCCTGTGTGGGAGAAAAGAGTTGGTAAACGTTGGTTTAAAGTTCCCTATATAGCCAATCGTTTGAAACTGCTTGAAGGCGAAGTTGTCAGCGGTTATTGCAAAACGAAACACAGGTAATGATATTTTGTCAAAAAGCCAATGCACATTTGTGTTCGGTTTATAAAAAATTGGGTTTATATTTTTGTTAGGAATATCAGTTATATGGTCGATGTCGGAACTACATGCAAGCCTAAGGACGATCATTGTACAAATCATCGAAGACGGAAAGAAAAACGATACGTACAAGGGAGAAATATAACGGTTGAATGTGTTCAAGGTTCATTAGTGTATAAATCGGATATTTTGACTCAAATCATCATGTCATGTGGTGCCTTTGAATGGAATGTAAACGTGCAACCGATGGGTATTGCCTTCCGGAATGTAAAAGTAAAATCGCGTTTTCAGTATTTACGTTCTTGACCAATCCTTGATATTTTATGATTTGTTTAAAAAATTATTTTTTAGCCGTAACCGT